ACCATCAAGGTTGATAATATCTGTTGGAATAATAAATTATAGTGGTGAGTAATGGAATTAGTGTTTTCGTGTTTCTTCAAACAAATGCGTAAGCCGGTTTTCATTAAAGCAAATTTGCACCAGTCTAGCTAAATCTGTCTTGCATTCAGGTGCAGAAATGTGATGTTTACTGTTTAGTTCATACCTAAGTATTTTAAGTTTTGCACTTAATGAAACGCGCAGTGGGTGGGTATTTCGTTTCATAGATTCTCGGAATGTAATCACACAGTCTGGAATCTGGAACACTATTTTTTTGTTATTTTACAATCAATTTCTGACGTCAACCGTTTGATGATCATTAGCTTTTCTAGATATTGCAAGATATTTTATAGATTTTGGGAAGTGCTTTTCAGATTAAAATAAAATTATAGGATCATTACGGGAAAGGATTTGTTTATTTGAAATAGTAGTTTTAAAACATTTCCAAGACTAAACGTATTAATAAAATTAATAACACAACTTTTAAATTGATAAGGGAATCATCAAAATCTTTATTTTTGTATGTGAACATGTGATTTATGCTTTTTCAATCATGTTAGAAAAGCCAAATACTTTTTCAACTGTTTCATTCATTGCTTCAGTTATTTTTCAAGAAAGAAATTCCATATTCTCTGTCCAACAATGCATTTTACACTTGAGATCCTGTCTTACATCATGTGTTTACCCATTTATATGTGAAACCTTGTTCCAGTTACATTATTTCTAATGCGAAATATCCTGTATTTTAGAATTTTCAGTTCTTCCTAGCGTCCGTTTAAAGATAACGAATTTTAATTCCTACATGTGATATTACATTATTATAGAAAAATGGACTAATGAATAAAGTTTTTCTTTTCACCAAAGCAGCCGCGTAGGTGAAAGCTTAAATACCAGGGCAGCGCGGCTGCTATTAGTAGCTTGAAGAAACTTTGTCAACCCGAACTATTAAAGTTTAATTGAACATGGAAATGCCTCGTCAGGTAGGTCGTCTTACATATGTAAGAAAATACCAATTCAAAACAGTTCGTTCGAAATCACAAAGTTACTTTCTTAATCATTTATTTGAAATTATCTTTATTGCGAAGCAAGCGTAACGCTACTGCTCGCACACAAGCATTCCTCGCGTGGTACCGTAATTTATTTTGAATGTCATAATAGGCAAACGAGGAAAAACAATTAAAATGCTTTAATGCGATTAGAATACGAATAATTAGTGTTGCGCACACGTCTCTCTTACACAATAATTGAAGACAAAAGGAGGAATCTATTAGCAATCCTGAATCATTTCGTCTGGCATGTTTATAGGTTTTCTGGTCGCAGCCTGACAATGAATACGGAGCTTTTTAAGATGAAATTGTTTTCCGTGACACATACCTCATCATTTACGGATAGATGTGATGTACATCCATTGGACTTATTTGCTTGTTGAAGCTTATAAATTGTTTTGAATAAATTTTCCTCGATACATCAAAGACTCCATTTTCAGTGACATATACAGGGTATTACAAGAAAAAAATAAAGTCCATTTTTCGTGAAACAAAGCACTTGATATTGACAAAGCTATTCAGCCATTCGATAACAAAGTGCAAACTGTCATTTCTTAAATGTTTTTTTGTTGTTATTGTTGAAGATTTATCTAGCATTAGTGCTACAATGTCAATTTTGTATAATGATTCGATTACATATTTTTCTTCAAACCATTTTCTGTAATTTTACATTCTTGTATATTAAAATTACGTCACTATGTATTTTGATTATTCATAAAGTGATTTTTTAATTTCACCTTAAACATTTTTAAATTCGAACTCTGTTCAATATCATTATTCAATTTATTACATTCAAAAACTCCCTTTTGAAATATAGATTTACTAGTTATGCTACTAATACAATTTTGCAGATGAAAATATATACTGCTTCTAGTTTCGTAGTTATGATAATGACTATTTAATTTTGTGAAGTTTACTAAATGTGGTGGTAATAAATGATTTTTTAATTTGAATATGAAAACGAGAACTAAATAATATATAAAATTTTCCACATCCAACCACTGCAGTTCTTCTAACATAGACTTAATCTTGGTATATTGATTTTTATTTAAAATGATTCTCATAGCTTTATTTTGTAGAATTTGTAATTTTGAAAATATGTTTTCATTTGATGTAGACAAGATGGTTGAACAATATAAAAAATGGGGAAGAATTATAGTGTTATACACAATTTTTTTGGAATACATACTAAGATTATGGGAAATTCTATAGAAGTAATTTATCTTTTTCGATATTTTCGAAATAACGTATTCATAATGTTCGTGAAACAGTAGCTTACTATCCGCATACTCGTATATACCAAGATATTCAAATTACTCGGCTACTTTAATTTTTTCATCATTAATCATGAGCCATTTGTATTGTCACCTAAATGTTTCCCTATTCACATACATTTTATTTTATTGGTGTTTAATTCAAGTTTATTGACATTTAACAAATTCATAATTTTTGTCAATATCACATCATTTACCAGTTCTAACGCAGTGTCCAAATGCTTATGTGCTATATATACAGGGTGACTTTGAAGTTGAGTCATTAATTTTCAGATAATGATTGTAGAAGGAAGATAAACCAAAATATGTGTGTAAAAATAAAAAAAAATAAAAAAAAATGTTACCTTGTTTTATAAAGTATCCTCCCGACAAGTATTTCAGTGTGGACCTGTATTTGATCGTGCGGTCTTGGAGCACCGGCATGCCCTCCCCTGTGAGGTCTTAAGTCACCTGATTCACGAGCTCTTATATACATTATACATCAACAAAGGCACGAGGGGTTGGTTGCACTCGATTGGGAAACCGATCCGCATAAATCCGTGATGCCGCGTAAATAAGAATCATGTCCACAAGTTCAGCATTTTCGTAAACATGTGCCATTTTTGATTTCGTTTGAGCCACGCAACAGATACCACTATTCACTCACGCATTATCGACTGACACTGACTGTATACAACTGAATAAAATAATTGTAAAAACATCGTTCCAAATTCTTTCACTTTTTTGTTTCCGATGCGATGAACCGATAAGGCGGATTATATCCGTTGTTGCCGAACACGAGCACATAATATTATTATTGAGATAGGGCGCTACTCAAATTTCCAAAGGGTTATAACTTTGTTACTTTAATTTTACCAGAAAAATGGTAAAGGAAAAAAACATTTCTTTTGATCAGACTACTCACTGTTAAAATAAATGACTCAACTTCGAAGTCACCCTGTATATATAAGTGTATCGTCCGCAAATTTTGCAGTGTTCTAAAATGTCGAAGAAGTTCTTTTTCGTTATCGAACAAGCGAGAGTTTATGGCATGATATTAGCTTTTTTCTAGGATTTCACAAAATTGCGCGTACCTCAAAAACGGTTCTACTTGTTACTAAGTTATATGTGGCCCAATGTGTTCCAAGAGGGATGAATTATCACTTTAAAAGGACGAATACCCTGAATAACTGTTAACATTACCCTTTGTCGGCTCTAATTGACATATGTTATATGTAGTTGCTTTCCGTCTCTAGCAACTTGTCAGTGCAGTATGGGTAGTAAGTCGAGCCTTGGAGACAGATGAAACGGAAAGCAAACAAGCGAAAAACTCAAAATCTGACGATCCCTACCTACATCCCATTCTATATAGAGGAGTCTGACTAGTGGGAATTTGTTTTTCTTTTTTGGAGACTACTCATATTTCACGGACACTTCACCTGGTTTGCTATTGGAACTAATGTAGCCCCGCTGATTGAGTTAAAGAATCTTTCAGCTTTAGATGAAAAATTATGATGTCAACATACTTATTAGGCTTAACCTAAATTCATACAATAGGGTATTCTCCAAGTAGACAGTGTTGGATTCTTAATAGCTAAAATACGGCCATTTTTCAGAGATTGTAGTTTATCATCTTTTTTTGCTTGTTCGTTGGAAACGTACACTTATATGAAATTAGTAAATTCAACGAGACCTGTCACAAATCCTCCTGGCCATACATTTCATGTCAAACTGTAAATGCCAGAGAATAAGGTGATTTTCCTCGCATCTGGCAAAAGTTCCATGGCAATTGTAGGGCCAGACTCTACAGACAGTACGGAGGAACTAATTACGTGACATTAGGGCTCATAAATTTATATCTTTGGCGTAAAATTTTTCGTTACAATTTTGGGAGCAAGTTTTGGCGCCTCTCGTTTTGTGAAAAAAGTGAAAACAGAATATCCTTTTTGAAGCAGTAAATACTGGGGTTCCATCAAAATTTAGATTTTAGGTAATAGTTCATTATGGAATACTGTGAATTTCTAAAGTCTAAATTATGTGAGGCGTAGCAAAAATATCCAAGGATGTAAGCACGTAAGTTTTAAGCTTCGTCAGCTAATTCAAAATAGACAAGTAACAAGATACATACATATATTAACGGAAACAGGTTGAAGTACGCGTAAACAATGTCCTTCCCCCAATAACAGAATTAGAGTCAACGAATTGGACAAAATGTTATGTACATGAAAATTTGCAACGGTATTCTAATTTCCGTCAACAATAATATTTACCTGTGAATACTTGTTTACCAGATACTGTTCGCTCGGCAAGACATAATTGTAGTGGTCAAACGCACTTGCAACATGTAGCACAAGAACGACATTCATGTACGACAAAAATTGACAAGTTTAAAAATGAGCAGTATGCAAAAAACACGTCCTCAAATCTATTTCTGGTAAATCGAGTAATATTATAGCTAGAAGAGAATTCTTGAAATTTTAGAATACAGATGTGAATTAATGACGTGAAGAAATACTTTAATATTTCGTGTATCTGATGCTGAGGCCATAACTACCTCGACTTTTCCCTTAAACTAAGATTCAAATACAATTTTACAACGTTACTATATGATGGCTTTGTTAGGTAAAATGAGCAGCATCATTTTGAATGGTATGTTTTATCACTATAACGAATAGTACCGAAATTATAGTAAAAATGTAGTACTTACTTGGTGATGTTTATCTTTGTACATGTAAAGTTTGGGTCCTTTGAGCACCACGTGGACTTGCTTCCATGATCGATCAGTAGCGCGCTGAAAAAATGATCAGAATAATGGAATTGTTTTCAACACGTAGATGCGACAAAACAATGACGGTGTTCAGCGTCACAACACTTTAAAGAGGTACCAATGTTCTTGGTGATTCAACTGAATTTGCAATTGAAATTACATTCGAAAAAATATGGAGGAGCTTACCACGGAATGCGTTAAATGTACGTTCAAATATTGAGTTCTGTAGATAACTACAATGTAAACATAATTGTAGGTAATATTCATGATGTTTATTGTCAGATACTGAAATTAGCCTGTTCATATATTGTCTGTGAAAAGGCGATTAAAGGAAACAAAAAGGAAATTGTATTTGGGAATATAATGATGCGCAGTTTTCTGATGTCATGAGGTATCATGTAATGATGAATATGTATCCACATGAAAGGTCTTAAAATACTGCTTTTTAGCAATTTTGAAATCAATGAATGGATTTCGATTACTTGTCCTTAAGATTCTAAGCGAAAAGTGGAAGAAAAAAATATTATGAGCACATAGTTCTCGATATAGTCATTTCGTTTTGTTACTGTCAGACTCAAAACATTGTGAAACTTATGAACTTACCTTCCCGTCGATCTCAAGAATTTTGCAGTTGAGGACTCCTTCCTTGATGATGTTGTATTTTTCTTTTTCCAGCGGAACCGGGCTGCCTGTGCTCTTTTCTCTGTCTAAGGACACACTACTACTGCTTGCACTGCCACTGTAATACAGAAATTACTGTTAAAATCTATCTTACCAAAGAGCAATAGACATCTGAGGGGTTTTATAAAAATAAGTGCTTTTATTGACGTTACAAGGTAGAGACAGTTTAAAGTTGAAGGGTTGTAAAAGGCTGAGCTGAATATGCTTGCATTCCGTCTCTGTAACCATAACCAGCTGGAGACAGCTCAGGTTCGTGCTCTTGAGCAACTCATTAGTACAGTATAGGTCTAGTCTTGGAGGAAAGACAGTGATCTGCCAAGACTAGACCTGTACCGACGGATGAGTTGCTAAAGAGCAGGAAACAGCACTGTCCATGGCTGGACATGAGATTACAGGGGCAGAAAACAAAAACATTCATATACATATTTAGCCAGTGTATATTTAACCATTTAACCGTAAATACATATAATGCCATATCCTGATAGCTTTGTGAATAATCAGTATTCCGACAACTTAACGGTGTCGCTCGTTTCAATGGTGGCGACATCTACAGGGTGACTTCGAAGTTGAGTCATTTATTTTAACAGTGAGTAGATCTGATCAAAAGAAATGTTTTTTTCCTTTAACATTTTTCTGGTAAAATTAAAGTAACAAAGTTATAGCCCCTTTAGAAGTTTGAGTACCGCCCTGTCTCAATAATAATATTATGTGCTCGTGTTTGGCAACAACGGATATAATCCGCCTTACCGGTTCATCGCATCGGAAACAAAAAAGCGAAAGAATTTGAAAGGCTTATCAGGATGTTTTTACTACAATTTTATTCAGTTGTATTCAGTCAATGTGTCAGTCGGTAACGCGTAAGTGAATAGTGGTGTTTGTTGCGTGGCTCAAACGAAATAAAAAATGGCACATGTTTACGAAAATGCTGAACTTGTGGACATGATTCTTATTTACGGGGGGGGAGTCTTTACAAAATGCTGCCGCGGCATCACGGATTTATGCGGATCGGTTTCCCAATCGAGTGCAACCAACCACTCGTGCCTTTGTTAATGTAGTACAAAGGGCTCGTGAATCAGGTGACTTAAGACCTCACAGGGGAGAGCATGCCGGTGCTCCAAGACCGCACGATCAAATACAGGTCCGCACTGAAATACTTTTCGGGAGGATACTTTATAAAACAAGGTAACATTTTTTTTTTATTTTTACACACATATTTTGGTTTATCTTCCTTCTACAATCATTATCTGAAAATTAATGACTCAACTTCAATATCTGTACAAAGTACACTTTGAGCAGTTATAAACCAGAGGACGTAGGGCTGTCCTGTCATTTCAGCCTATGGGCTAAAGATGATGTCAGGTTTTGGGAGATCACTTGTAGGTGGCCTTTCTCACCAGTTTGCACACAGCAGGGTTGTAAAAATACAATGGCGGCTGTTAGTATATTAGGAAGCAAGTTTTGTAGGCAGAGAAAAAAAAAACGGGTAAAAGTTTGTTATATCAAGTGACTAAAACAAGTAGTATTTGATTCTTCATGTACCTTGTGAAAAGTTTTAACTTCCCAATCAAATCTAAACAGTGCTGAGAAATTTTAACAGGTTGACATGGTATATTTGCATGTTGAGATGCTATTCTGAAATTAATTCAAAACAGATAGACTTTCTTGCAGTTATACCGCAGATGAAATGTATTTATGAAGTGATAGTATCAAGTCTTATACGTCTCCGACTATGCTCTTCTGATGTGCGGCTGGCAAGAAGTCCATATTTGGCGTTGATATATCACAGCAGCCAACTATATAAATAATGTCGCATTAAATTCACGTTCCGCATGATTTACTTCGTGCTGCATTCTGTCGGAAAATATGGCTAAATCCTTAGATCAGAACGAGTGAGATGCTACCCAGACCAATATAAATCTGCAAGCGGTTTTGTATGGGAGTTTTTATTTACCCACGATCCTGCATCATATTATGACTTAGGTAGAGGTAAGTTCTGATCAAACAATCACGGTATCTACCTTGTTGAAAGTGAAGTTTTTTCCAAAGGTTACTTCTTTTTAATGGGGTATTTTGTATCCAGACAAAAATGCATTTTAATAGGTGAAGTAGATTGTTCAAGGATGATGAGGTTTATCCTCGTCTATTCGCTCGTATGTCGGAAAAAAAAACTTGAAATTCATGCATTGACGTCATCCATATTTGTCGGAAGAAATTAGCCAATAGGCGTTGATTTTTATTCTAGATAGCGATAGAAGGTGACCTTATGTTTCAGGTTAAACTGTTAACGTGAGAGAACTACCATGTTCCAAGGAAAGGGCGGATAAGAACTTATCACGACACAATAGAACTTATTACGACAGAATTTTTACATATGAGAGAGCATGTTTTGTCACCACAAAAAAAGAACATTGTACTGTTGCCCTGAAGAAACAATAATCATTCCAGACGTAGAAAGACCACTCCTGGATAGGTACTAAGGTTCTCAAATAGAACCCAATATTGTTTATCGTTTTGAAATCGTCAAAACGATTCCTTTCTCGCATTACAATTTCAAACGTAATTATTCCAAAAAACATATCTTTACGGCAGTGTTTCTCAAATATGTCGATTTAAACATTTAAAATAAGCATTATTGGTTGCTTGTTCAACAATATCGGCTGTTTGAGGTATGCTTTGCAATTGTTTGCTCACATCGTGTATAATTGCGAATTTTTGCGGTTTGCATGCAAAGCAGTGAAAGTATGGCGGCGTACCATATGACGAACTGGTTTTAATAATTGGGTGTGATAGTTACGGTTATAGTGTGCTGTGACCCCATGCCGACGTCTGTGCATAATTCAAAATAAAATATTGTTTTAGAAAAAAGCATGAACCGAGAGAAAATCTGCTGAAATGTGGACTTTCTAATTGTCACGGGAGTTTATGTATCACGGAATTTTGTCATGGATATGAAACAGTGGTATCCATAACTTGTACTGAATGCTTATAATGATTCGTTATGGCACTGCAGGGTGAAACCAAACATGTATAACATATATCATGTAGACATATTTTTGCGTCAATTATAGAGAACCAGCAATTAGTGAGGCACTAGCGAAAGTGGTGTCATATCAATGTATCAGTTTTAAAATGTTATGCCTTAATCTTATACGGTTCAAGAGATACTGTTGTTCAGTCTGTGCTGAAAGATAAATGATTTGTTATACAGACATATATCTCCCGATATATAAATGTGAATGTCTGATCTGTCTGTCAGAATCACGCTGGAACTAACGTCAAACCGGCAACAGGGCTGCCGGTCATCGCCCCACTCAACCTGTGTTCGTCAAGGGATGCAGACTATTTTGCACAAGCTGTTACCACTTTGTACGCTTGAAACTGTTACTAACATAAAACATTGTTTATAAGTAATCTATACCTGCGAAATTTTATTACTTTATACTAGTGGAGCCACCTATACGTTCCGCGGGTAAAACCCCGAGTCCCAAAGCTAGTATTATTTAAATCGAAGTATCAAGATGTAAATTGATTAATTAACAAACGTGAAGTAACAGTATATTTATACGTAGACTAGAAGTCAGGAAGGAATTGAATCCCACATGGATCATGCTCACTTCGTTTATCTGGCCAAGGGCTCACGATGTGTGAAATTAAGCTATCTACAGATGGTTTCAAATAAGTCAACATTGTTCAAAGCTTATTATTCTTCATGTTAACACTTTCTTCGATATGTTTGCGTATGCAATTTGTAAGAGGCTGAATAATAATCGCAACTGTTAACAATACTTCCTTCAACATGGCCATTAAAATCCTAACAGTGAAATCGCGGAGATTTAATCTCCAAGTCTCATGAATTAAAAACGAACTTCGGTATTTTCGTTTTCACTTCTAATACCGTCAGCAAGAACAACATTAAATCAACTTTCCTATTGTTGTTGCAATTAAGTTTATCCCCGTAGCCACAAAACATCTTTATAACAAACAAGATAATGGTTTTTCATAATTGCGATTGTAGCTTTCAAATCTACACATCGCAGAACTCAGAAAATGATAGATACATATTTGAATTTTAATAAATTTCGATCATGTTATTGTTATTTTTAACTTTGGGAGAAATATAAGCAGCTTATGTAGGTAGTCATACATTTAACACTAGCTTTGAGGCAGGATTTACATATGTAGAGTCGGCATTTTTTAATATTCGTGTAAACTATAGAATTTACCCTAAAAATAGATATTGGGTGTCAAGATGGAGGAATATTTAATAGATTAATAAATAACACGAAAAGTTCATAAACGGATTTTTGTTATTCCGAAATCGATGAAATATTGTTCATTCGGAATGACTTGACGTATTGTCTAAATGTTTCGCACACTTGCAGCATCCACTCAAAAGAAAATTACATTCATCGACGACTTTTTTGTAACATCTATTACATTTTTGAATAAGTTACGTTTTGCATAAATCGTCTCTCTTGTCATATTTTCTTTAGAATGTTCGTTTTGAAAAAATATTGGTTTGAATATTTGAGCTAAAAAACTACAATCCATTTTACTAAGAGGTACGTAGGTAGTAAGTCGTAAAAAATTGTATACCGGATGATTCTCCAAGGTGGCTCAACCCTATAAGTTTCTGATTATTGAAGATAGAAAAACGAAATGTGAGGGTTGCGTATTATAGATGAATTTACATTTTTGACATATTTACTTGCTTTGACGTATTTCCGGTTTGACCAGAAACGACTCCAAGTTTCGATTTTTGAATGGGACATCCTAAGTATTTTTACTTATTTCGATCAAGAATAACTGAATTCAACAACGCCTCACGTTTCAATATTTGACAAATTAAGTCATTTTTATTTCAATATTTATTTTTCTCTCTAGAAATCCATGGACCCTGTAGATCGCTTCATTTTTGATCAAGTAACATGGGAAAAATACGATTTTGAGGCGAACGACCTTACACTCCTCTGATAGATTTTATTAAAGTTACAAACACTAATTTTTCAGTTTACTTGATTTTTTCAAATATAAAGGGGATGGATTTTCTATGAGACTATCAATGTGGTTCAAGCAACAACTGATAAAGTTAAACTTTGCTGTCATCAAGGACGAGGCCATTTTGAACACTTAGAACCTTAATGGCACATTTTTTAATTTTATTTTTTGTTATAATAATGATAGGATATGTATTTAATTCATTTGAATAGTTTACTCCATAGGCCAACATCACTGACGATAAAGTTATTCGCATTTTCTTCTGGTTTGTTGCACATTTTGTATTTCGAATGCATAACCTTCAATTGTTTGTCACGGATAACTAGAATAATAGGACTTAATGCATAGGTATACCGAATGCAGATACGTAAATATTATTTGTTGTTAGATATGATCGTTCCTTACAATTATTCAGAGACAAAGTGAAAATAAAGTAGGAGTGTGTAGTGTCAAATTATTCGTAAGAAAATGATCTCTTGGAAAAGCCGATGAGCCACCCCATTTTTATTTGAAAAAATCAAGTTAAACTGGAAAAATCAGTGTTTGTAACTTTTAGAAAATCTTTAAAACGACTGTAAGGTCGTTCACCTCAAAATCGTGTTACTTGATCAAAAATAAAGCGATTTACAGGATCCATGACATTCTAGATCGAAAAATAAAAATTGAAATAAAAATGACTTCATTTGTCAAATATTGACAATCGAAGCGCTGTTGAGTTTAGAATTTTATTCTCGATGAAAATAAATAAAAATATATGGGTATTTCTCAGCAAATTTCGAAGTTCATGTCCTGAGCCATTGATGCTAAGTTGCATGGACTTATCATCAATTTAACATTTTTATTATATCAATAAGTATCTACACTAATAATTTAAAAGCAAAAATTTAGATAATATATTGACACAAAAAAATACGATTAATTTATTAGTCTAAAAGTCATTCCATCATCTCGTCCCTGGGTCTGAAATTACTAATAAAAAAATATATACAATCAAATCTGTTATATTCTTATAAATTGAATATTACTAAAATATTTGGTAATAAGTATGGATTGTATAGTCAAGCTTTCATTGCTAAAAAATAAATATGTATATAAAAAAACTATGTCCCTTGAAATAAAATCATTCCCTCACCCAATTATAAATATTCGATTTATGGTCACACCATTTGATATTTTTGAACGCAGCTGTTATGTTTTTAAAACTTGGCAATAATGCTAATAATGTCAACATGTCGGAATTTCTTAATAGTGAAAAGAGTTGCTGTAAAAAAGTATCAGATTTCAATAATTAGAACATTACATTTCTCTGTGTCATTACCTCACTGTTTATATTAAAGGGTAAGTCATTATGCTGTTCGAATCTTTTAATGATTTTTTTTTCTTGTTTTGGGGAGTGAAATTCATTCACAAAATGCTAAATCAATTTGAGGTGCTGTACTGTTGGTTACGGTGTCGTTTATGCAAATCCGTCATTCCCTCACGGTCATTCCCTATAATATAAGAAGAGGTGTTTGAGATTGAAAACCAAAAATACTGACCCAAACACTACAGCAACTAAAGTGTTTTCGCTTTTAAAGAATATACAAGTTCCTGACGTTGTAAGAAAAAGACTCATTTTCAGAGAAGCACTGCCAACGGACCTAAAGAATATCCATGAAGATCTTGGAAGTAAACATGGAGAAAAGAAAAAATATTACATGTTGAAGCGCTGCAATAAGTACAAAAGATACAAATTGGTATATAGATCTAAACATTTTTACAAAAACGATACGTACAAAAAGAACTGCACTCGTAAAGTTAGCACCAAAATGCTGAAAGTTAGGGGTGATGTTGTTCATTTCTTTGAGAATGATGAAAATACGAGGATGTGCCCTTTAAAGTATAAAACAAATCTCAATACATCTATTAATAAATTAACTTGTGTTTTTTTATTGAAATTCAGCATCAAATTGTTGTAAAAATCATTCCCCATCCTATCAGTCATTCCCTCATTTCATAGATTTTTAAAAGTCATTTTTCTACATGTTATACACAAAAATATGGAGGACCTTCATTTTCAATGAACCTCACTAAAGTAAAACTTTATATTTCTGCAAAAAAGGATATATTTTCATTATTTTTTTTAACAATTGCAAAATGAAATTTCTAAATTTGTTGAGAAATACCCATATATGGCGTCTCATTTAAAAATCGAAAGTTGGAGTCGTTTCTGGTCAAACCGGAAGTACGTTAAAGCAGTTCAATATGTCAAAAAATGTAAATTAATATATAATACGCAACCCTCAAATTTCGTTTTTGTATCTTCGATAATAAAAAAGTTATAGGGGTGAGCCACCTTGGAGAATGACGTGGTATACTGTATTAGGTAGTAACATTAATGTGATGCCCTTATTCGGTCTCATCAGTAGGGTAGTAACTTATAACACCCAGTATATTTATAATGGCACATCTTAGGACATAAGAGAAATTGCACACATCATCATCAGGTGACGTCGAGATACCGTAACGAACTAATTATGAGTAATCATCTGATATCTATCCAATCATTACCCTAATGCAGCGTCCGTTTTGTGCAACATGAGCAATGGTATATCTATATAATACAGCGTAAAACTACCCATAAATTATTTATTACCGATAATGAAAACCTCAAATTGCGAGGTGATAAAACTGAATTACCGCTCTTCTCTAGGACGTTTTGTGCGTAGATGGAAACGGTTTAATGAGAAGTAAAATTGGCACATACAGGATAGACAGTGTTTTGTTTTTATTTAACGTCGGATTTTTTGAAACGTATTTAAAGCTCAAGACTAATGGTGCAATAACAATCAAGTTTTTTATAAAAAAGGTTTCCAGCAAAAGCGGTAGATCATGTTTCTGCCGCATAGGTTTTAGCTGTAGTTTTAGTGAGTCATTGTTGAACTATGTGGTTAATATTGACTATTATTGAAGTGTACAGTTATTTTGCTATCAAATGACACACTGTTTTCATTATCATCAATAAAAATACCTACCGTTTAGTCTTTGAATCCACAAATCGTTACCTGTAAAGGTCAGTCACAATGAAATGGTTATCTATCGCCTTTTAAACTCCATGACTACTATTATTTTAGCTAACCACTTTTCAAAAACTTGAGAAATACGAAAATGTTGGAATAAAATGCACAATTTTATTAATCCACACAAAGTAATCGATATGACATGAAGAAACGCGAAAGGTAAAGAAAGCATTTTAAATATTAAACATTATTAACCAGCTACAAATCACCTTCTTAACTTTGTTTCTAAGTACAACGCCTAATGACTTTTCTATTAAGCATTATTAAAATCATTAATTCGACTACTAAGCAAGACATTAAATGTAAATGAAGCACCTCATACCAAAGCTGACTGTTATAAGCTATACATATAGCATTATGTTAGTGATGGTTAGTAGAGCTACAAATGGTGCTGTTAATTTCTGTCAACAAATGTCCAGCTCACCCCAAAGAAGCGGCAGCGTCCTCGAATAATTTTCGCAACTGTTGAATATCCCCAGGAAATAATGGAGGTCTCCACCTCTTATGTGCACTACAGAAAGAAACATAGGATGTTCAAAGCTACCTGTGCACATTCGGCTTCGAAATGTGAAGGATTATTACTACACAGAAGTGCGAATAGTGAAATAGATTGTTGGTTTGATGCGCCTATGGAAATCATAATGACAGTGGCGTAGATGTAGATCAGTTGTTGCATGAAAGATTATATATGCACATCTAGAAAAATTACGGACACCTATTTTAAAATTATTTGCTAAATGTAAATGTTACGGGTAAACCCCAAAATTCGGTCACATGTAGCTTTAGCTGGTTAGAACTAGGTGAAGCCATCCTCATACTGGCTACAACTAGGTCCAGCCAATCCTTAGTGGCTAAAACTAGATATAAGCGTTACAAACACGTTTGGTTGGGAATTTTCAAAGAAAATGTAGTATCATCATTTTCATATTATTTATTTCATCAATACATTTCTTAAACAAAACTCAACTCAAACATATCTTGGGATTATCATCACAGGTAAGTACCCACAATAATGAAAAAATAATTCGAGCACTTTTGAAATTATAACAATCAGCAGTAATTTTTAAACCTATTTTTTCCATAACTGTAACTGAACTTTACTATTTTTTTTAAATTTCTAGCACAAATTTATGAAACATTTTTTAAATAATTATTGGCGCAAGCAGGTAATACAAAAAATTAAATAGTTAACATACCTTATGATATAATGAATAGAATTGAGATGATGGATTGGGTAGACGTAGTTGTAGACGGATTAGGCTAGACCCAGTTTTAACCGGATGCAACAGCCCGATCCTGGATTTAGCCACGAATACATAATATGGTTCACCTAAGACTTAGTCTAATCATATTAGATGAAAATTCCCCTGGTTTGCGGAATTATTGTAAAGTCTGGTTTGATTTCTGCAAGTTGTTCAAGGGTGTATTCAAAATATGGACGCATAAAATGTGAAAACTTTTTTTGTTCCTGTCAACACTTTCGATTGAATCCCAAAAAACACGGTCTCTCATTCTTTGTTGTCAAATGAAAAGTTTTCCCACAAAAATTGGTGTACCCATTTTATGCGTCCTTGTTTTAAATACGCACTTGAACAACTTGCACCAATAAAACCAGACTTTACAATTATTTCGGGGAAATTTGCTAATATGATTAGACAAACTAGCCAACTGCCAGTGGCTACTCCTTGTTCTAACCGCTCAACCTAGTTGTAACCGCATTTTGGACGTAAACAAAGTTAAGATTGGATATCAATTATATCCAAATCAAATGTCAGCCGCAAAACATGCAGATACAATGTGTTTGGTCACGACATACCGATATTTAAGGGGGTATTTTTCAGCTATTTTGATCGAGAAATCCACCCCCCTACAATGTCCTACCTCACCCCCCTTGAAATCGCAGCCATTTTTATCTTTACGTTACGATTACGCTAGTGCGTGTATGAAAATTGTAATAACTGAGAACATAAGAGTCACAGAATGATAAATTTGAACGATAACATGTCGTTCTAGCGATTATTGAAAAACTTGTATTGATACTAACCGTCAAACATACTTAAAAACAGACAAAAACAGAAAAAATATGCAAGAAAATTGATTATTTTGTGCATTTCCGCACACCATTTAAAAACTAGTTTGTGAAGTTATACTTTTTTCTGCTAATTCTACAGCCAGCTATGTTATCTACAAAATGACACCAAATTTCTTCTACGTTAAATAATAAATGCTATCTAACATGGGTCAAAGTATACATAAAAATGACAAATCAAAGTTTCTTATAAATAGTTTGGACATGTTTAATGTTACAGAAGCTGTTCAAAATGCCCTCCATTATTGGTTATGCACATGTGTCGTGTGGAGCAGCCGGTCGTATCCGTGTCAGCTCTAATTTCGTTCGCAGCGGTATGGATCATTTCCACGAGCTCTTCCCGTATCATCGATACATGACAGTAGACTTTTTGTTTTATTGTGTCCCAGAAAAAATAATCTAGGGGCGTTAAATCGGGTGATCGGGGTGGCCAAGCGACAGTGCCTCCACGTCCTATCTATGGAGAATGTTGCCTATCCAAATGTTCTAGCGCAAAAGCATGTGGGAGCTCCAACCATATGTTGCGGCGGTTGATAAGTGCCGTAGATCTGAAAACTCGGTACTCAAGAAGACCAAAAATCCCCCTGGCCATCTAACCTTGGAGGTAGCTCAACTCGGCCGACTAAAACTCCGTCGATCATTCGGGCCCACATGTTTACATCAAATTCCTGTTGGAAAGTGCTCAGTCGAACTGCGTAAGCGGCTTCCGAAGACCACAAGTGGTTGTTTCTATGGTTTATGATCCCCTGCTTCGTAAATTTTGCTTCGTCCGTCCATATAATTTTTCGTGACATTGTACTATTTATAAGAAACTTTGATTTGTCATTTTTACGTATACTTTGACCCATGTTAGATAGCAATTATTACTTAACGCAGAAGACATAGGATAACAAGTTTGGTGTCATTTTGTAGATAAAAAAAGTACAGCTTCACAAACTAGCTTTTGAATGGTGTGCGGAAATGCACAAAATAATCAATTTTCTTGCATATTGTTTTCAGGTTTTGTCTGTTTTTAAGTATGTTTGACGGTTAGTATCAATACAAGTTTTTCAACAATCGCTAGAACAATATGCTATTGTTCAATTGACACCAAATTTACGTTCTGTGACACTTATGTACTCAATTATTACAATTTTCATACATGCACTAGCCTAATCGTAACGTAAAAATAAAAATGGATGCCATTTCAAGAGGGGTGAGGTAGGACATTGTAGGGGGGTGGATTTGTCGACTAAAATAGCTGAAAAATACCCCCCTTAAATATCGGTATGTCGTGATCAAACACATTGTATAGCATAGACTATAATAGAATAAAATTTTTCAAACATCAAAGCTTGTTCTTTCACCATTGTGTTTTGATAGTGGAAAGTGTGCAGTGCTGTAATTTTCATTATTATTCCTAGATGTTTCTTCAGTGGTAAGATTACACATTCGTCCTTCTTATGACACTGGTTCATTTAGTTATTTGATAAATTAATTTTTGGTTTTAGACGATCGAACCAGTTGCTTAGATCTACTATCCACTATTCTTTTGGGATTACTTTTCAAGTTAAAAAAAGTTAATGGGACAAACTAAAAGGAAGTGGAGTACTTCTAGAATAGCTAAAGTATCGAAAGAAAATGGTATGGAAGAAGGCAGGGAACAAAAAGGTATACGTCATTTTGTCGTTGTGGAATTAAAAGCTATGTATCTGTGTCAAATATATTCTGTATTCTAGTTTTTAAAATAAAATTTTAATGATGACTGACAATTGTCATGAGTGGCACTCAATTTTCAAATCAAGGGAAAGTAAGATTTTTGGTAATTACCTTTTGTAACAGTCATATTCAACTGCACTTTATGGACGTGTAACATAAATGAAGCTTACGATTGCAAAGTAAGCGTTATGTACTTCTAAAGCATACACATACTTTCATCTATTTTTCGTGTTTAACCAGTAACAAACACAGCCACTTTCCTCTAGTATAATCTTCTCTCTGAGTAAATGAATTTAACACTTACCTTCTGAGAACATGAGGTGATGTGTCTCCTCCATCGCTGAGGTCGCTGTCAATGTGCATTCGACCTCCTTCGGTCGCTTTGAGGTATGACTCCCTTCGTGTCGCTCTTTCATCGTCGGCTGTTGACAAAAAACACGTTAGTTACCCATAGTGACATATATTTTTTCAATCATCATTTTGTCTCCAAGAAAGTATAACAGAGACTGGGCAAGCAAAAAGTTTTAGCATCATTTCGCATTTACTTAGGACCATTGAAGCAGGACGATCTCAAATTGAAATACTTTGCCATAGAAGCTTTATGAGTCGAAATGCTAATTTAGATGATCTCACATGTTACTTTTAGCTTATATGTGATATGTGATACTTCACTTCAAATCATACACATTATCGCGCAAGATACCTGTCTGAAAATGAACGAATAGTTCGTAAATCATTCAGCAGATTCGTTACAATAAAACAACAATGTAGCTATGGTAATGTTTAGAAGTTTAGTGGATTATTGGTGAAAGATGTGGTAATGTGCTGGAGATACTTACCAATGTTAGTATTTTTAGTTCTCCTTTTAACAACCACAGGTTTATCTTCCACTGAAAAATGAAAACGAAGTTAGTGGTGCAATGAAGGGGTGAACTGTTAGCAATGTTAGTTACAATCAGGATAAAATCACATTAGTAGAAAACAAGCAAAAGATGGTTAAAATTTAGTCGAAAAATAGGAAGTACTGTGATATCCTACACATTGGAGAAACACCTTTAAGAACCAGATTCTGGCAGCTAAAAACTCATACAGACGTCCTCATGCAAACATCAAGTGTAATAGTGTGAAGTGTAAAAATGTAAAGTGTTAGTAAGAGAGTAATGCGTTTAGTAGTTTTAAAATGCACAGGTAGAGAGAGAATAATTAGCGAAGTTTAAGATGAAGTAATTATTAGATTACCGGTTTTTGTGTTTTTATATATATTTCATTTTCATCATATTCAATTTCATATTAGAATGACGCAACGCCGGAGTACTTGTTGCATAACACCTAAAATAATGCTGCCCACAATGAAGACAATCGTCATAGTCAGTCTGCCTGACTCTCGAAAATACAAAATTTTTAAAATGATATTACTCTGATATAGGCAATATCTGCCGTTACGATAAAATTGGACCGTGCTCTAAGCAAAAAATCGGCGAACAAACAAGTAACAATGCTTCTCTCTCCACCCAAAATGCACGAACGTTCAACCAACACCACACCAAAACCTCATCAAACAACTATCAGAGAGACAGACGCCCATCCACTGTTGCGATGGGCGGACCCTTACAATCAGCCATGAGGGCAGCCATGTTGGGCGGCCTGAGGAAGTGCCCTCTAACGGGCCGCCGGGGCGGCTCGTCCAGTTGCAATACCGTAGGGCGGGCAACCACAGTCTGGGGCGGCGCTTGTTGCTGCTGGGCGGTAGACGTTGGGGGCGGTGCGGGAGGCGTCACGGATACAGCGGGGAGGATGTCGTCTGGTGATAGATGGATGCACGAATGCACCGGTTGTAAGGATCATTTTTGTAGATTCATTGTGATAAATACTATTTCCAAATGGTAAAGTGTTTTGATGTGAGAAGTAATATTGAGGCTTATATTGAAAAAAAAATGATATGTTAATTGTAGAACTTTCAGAAAGATCTATGGAGGGTAAAAAAGGACGACAACGTGTTGCATCAAGTGATATTACAAGGTTTTTTGAATCTACTAATATACAAACTTATTGGTTGCAATTCTTCGATATGTTTCAGACTTTATTATTGGCTGGATCACCCCTAAAGTTTCATTTTACTACCAAAGGATTGACGTTTTTCTAGATACCACTGCTTACGAGATGTGAAGTTTTGAAGGTTTTTGATATTCATTTTTTTCTGCATTGATATGTACAAAGGGTACTACAAAAGTTTTGCATTATGAGTTAACAAAAGGACGCAGGAGGCTGCATGTTTCTGCATGTAGAGCTTTGTCCATGAGTGCATAGTAGCCGCCAGCAGCACGTCTGTTGATTTAGTTGTTCATTCGTATTGACAGTGTAAAGTGCGGACTATGGCATCGTGCATCACGTAGTGAGATAAGGGTAGTTTTACAGTATAAATTTACGCATGGTTTAAGCATAGAAAAGTGCTTAGAAGAAATGACACTTGCATTAAAGAATGATTGTCCTCATCGTACAACTAAATTCAGGTGGTACAGAGAATTCCAAAGGGGCAATGTCACTCTGGAGGAAGCTGAGAGGGTAGGAAGGCCGCGAACGTCAATAACAGAGGAAAACATTACTGCTGTGAGGCAAATGCTTCACGACGACCGGAGAGTGACATACCAACAGATAGAGGAGACCTTACACCTTCATGCACCAGCAATTCATTCAATTCTGCATGACCATTTACACGTAAGGAAACTTTGTTCTCTCTGTCGTGCGACGGTGCCGAAAAAATGCTGAAAATGTTTGATAAGGGGCAATCTCGGTATGTGAACAGCATCATGACAGGTGACGAGACTTGGCTCTATTATTACGATGTCCCCACCAAGTTTGGCTCTTTGATGATGAGGACACACCCGTAGCTGTCAGAAAATCCCGATCTGTTGAGAAAAATATGATAGCTGTATTTTTCAAATGGAGCGGGATTGTGGCGCGTGTCGTTTTGGACACACAGAAGACAGTCACAGCTAAGTGGTACACGGAACAGTGCCTGCCTAAAATCATAGAGTCTATGAAAAACCTGGGGTCAAAGTCAAGAATAGACACTTGGTACCTCCATTATGACAACGCTCCAGCTCACCGCGCCAAAGCCTGCACCGAGTTTTTGACCACTACTGGACTAAAACTTATTGAGCACCCTTCTTATGTTGCAGTCCAGATCTTGCTCCCTGCGACTTTGCACTGTTTCCCCATGTGAAAATGAAGCTAAAAGGAAAACGGTTTTCTAGCGATGAGGAGCTTCGGACGGCTGGTTTAAGGACTGGTTTTGGCGGATGGAGAAGTATATTGAATGTGGTGGAAATAACTTTGAACGAAGTCAATGAATAAATCTGTATTGCAAAACTTTTATAGTACCGTTTGTAGATAATGTATGAAGGGGTTCGCGATTACCACGACCCAAGGATAGCGCTAGGTATCGCAAACTTGACCGATAATAAATGAATGAAGTCGTTTTCGGAAGGCTTGTGAAAAGGCAGTGTAGTTTTACACTGCAGGTTAGCAGAAACTTCGAAAATACAAAGCAAGCAGTTAGATAATTAAAATTATTACCAACGGGTTATCATCAACTTTCAACGTAAAATATGAAAATCAAGAAACATCTTATCCTTGGAAATTTTTGCACAGCTTTTATGGTGAAATGTCTAGTGAAATATGAAATAGTTGGCACCTCATTTTTTGGTTTTACATTGATCACATCCATTCCATTGTATTACTAGCTTTTGTTATTTTTTCTGCGAAAGGTTGGGAAATCTTGAAACTTATCATAACTTTTTTGTGCTACCCTATATACAACAACTGATCAAAAAAACCTTATTTTCTCGTACTTCCACAACAAAAAAGGTTTACTTGTTAGAAGTGTCTGAAGCTAATAGTTTTCTAGATATTTGTTTTGAAAAGTTCCAATGCATTATTTGCAACATGATTTTATAACATATAAATCAAGTTGCTTTGGATAATATCTGAGTAGCGTAGCTATGGTTTCTAATGTTTGTCATAATATTGCTTTAAACTTCATGAATAATTTTAAGTTGACAATAAGTTGTTTAACATCATGTATACGTTTGATGAATATTCTGATATGCATTTAATGTACGGATTGGCAAGATGTAATGCTTTAAAAGCACGAAGATTGTACGCTGACAGATTCCCTAATAGACACCTGCCTAATCCAACGAATCGATCAGCGGTTACGAGAAACTCGTAACAAATGATTATAGCCTTATTTTGAATAGTAAAAACCATTTAGATTCCAGGTCGTTTTGCTCAAAATACGGGCCGACATAGTGGAGCTCTCAGAACTGTACGGACAGCTGACGTTGAATAAAATGCTTTAGATGCTGTCTTTGGAAATACTACAGTTGGGGTTAGGAATGTTAGGAATACAATTTTTCAAGAGCAACTGCTGAATCCATACCACCCGCTAAAAGTACATGGTTTAAGCGCGAATTTTGTGCATGGCTCTTAAGGAAGTTTAACCACGACAATGGTTTTACTTTGTTAATATTATTTTCGGACGAAGCAGGATTTGGAAGAGATGGGCCGGCCCATTAACTCGCATAATCACCTTTATGCAGACAAAAATCCTCATACAATGATACAAACCCGCCCCCAAGTACAATTTCAAATTAATTTATGGACAGGAATAATTGGACAATATTTAATTGGACTCGTTGAGTTACCACCTAGACTAAATGGCGAAAGGTATTTACAATTTTTTGAGAACAGTTACTCAGTCTGCTGGAAGTTGTTCCACTACAAACACGCATTAATGTGTGGTTTAAGCACGACGGTGCCCCACCTCATTTTAGTATATCAGTTAGAGAGCACCTAAATAGAGTTTATCCAGACCAGAGGATAGGCCGATCAGGACCTGTATCGTGGCCGGCTAGATCACCAGATTTAAATCCTATGGATTTCTTCTTTTGGGGTAATTTAAAACAACGCGCTTACAATACGCCAGTGGAAACTGTAGATGATCTACGACAAAGAATTTTCCACCATTGCCATAACATCCAAATGCTTTGGAGAGTGCAGCAAGGATTAGTTCCTCGAGCTCGAGAGTGTGTTAGGCAAGGTGGGGCTCATTTTGAACAATTTTTGTAGTTATTATTTCCGGTTATTAGTTTTGTTACCATCCTCATTTGTTATTGTTAAAACCATAGCAACGCTACTCAGATATTATAAAAAGCAACTTGAGTAGTATTATGTTATAAAAATGTTTTACCAACATGCTACAAATAATGCATTGGAACTTTTAAAAACAAGTATCTCGAAAACAATTAGCTTTAGACACTTCTAGCAAGTAAACCTTTTTTTTTTGGAAATACGAGAAAATAAGATTTTTCGGTCAGTTGTATTCAGGGTAACACAAAAAAGTTATGATAAGTTATTTACCGAAACAGTGCTGTAACTGGCGCCCTCTAGAAGTTTGGCCATAAAAAATAACGGATTCTTGTTTCTCATACTAGCAAAACCTCCCTATATAATAATAAGGAAAAATAGAAAATAAAATTATAACTTTGACACCCTATATCTCGCAAACTATCAACTTTTGGTCTAAGGTATGTTTAGGTCAATTCACATATTTTGGCCTGTAGAATCTCCAGTTTCGAGATTTTCCAACCTTTCGCAGACCTGTATGTACGAGTACATTTTCATGTTCTAACAGTTATCTTGTAAGAGACCGTTTGAAAATAGTATTGTTTACGAAAACTGAGAATTTGTTCTTCTACTGATTGGCGTATTGGTTATATATTATTACACATTTTGATAGTCTCAAAGACCGTCTTTGAGATTATACACTGATAATTAAGCGTAACTCACCAGTAGTTTTGTTCCTTTCCGGCATCCATGATTCAGCCGAACTAGATCGCACTCGCAGCTTCCAAACCTCATTGTCTTTGGAGGAGTCTGGAATAAGGCAACATTAAATTAAATAATGCATTGAGATACAATTACAAAGTTTAATAGCAACTTCCTAAAACCAAAAGTCCGTTGTCGTCTGTTTTGCCAACGGTTAGTCCTGTATGAGTTTTAAGATGGATATATTATTAGCATTATATAAATATCAAACTGTTAATTTTTAATTTATTATAAGCAACTGTTATTATCAAACTATCAGAAAAACCGAATTACTACGACTCAAATGTATCTGAGCATTCATAGACTAATAAATTATATCGGAAATCATATGACAATCGTTTTAAATATACTCGTATATTATTTTGATATTCTAACCATATCATTTCGTTGTCCTTAAGTAAGCAAGACGCACTACATAATGTAGTACTTTCTAGTACAACAATCGCCAGACTTATGCATTTTTCCTTCTAGATATTCTTATCGTATTAGCTCATCAACATTCAAGTCGTAGATCACAATAAATAATTGCTATTACAAAATGCTAACTAACTACTTCTACAGAGTGTTAAATACAGAGCAAGCTTATAGTAAATGAAAACATACTAGGGACCTATCAATGCAATATTAGCACTAACATAGTGGATACCGTTAATATTCTGTTTTTATGAATGATTTTGTAGTTGTCCATAACTTGAGGATATTTTTGCCAATATACAAGTACGACCTCACATATAAAACAAAGAAATCTATAAATGATAATATTTTAGTAGACGGTTTTACATTTCTCAAAACTAGGATTTTTTGCCTTAATAACCAAAAATGAGTATATTGTAATTCTTCTTACAATACAAGGAGCTATTATGGATTTACTTAAGAATTTGAAGGTACAATTCCTGACCAACCTCTTGCGGTAAACAAAATTCATTAAAAAAAAATCTGCTAATAATATTAGAAAAACATGTTTGTTATTCATGAGCGCAATTACTTAGGAAATCACGAACTGGGAAGTTAACCAACACAAAATTATTGTTAATAGCCCACTCATATCATCAGAATTTAAAAATCAAAATTGCTTTTGCGAGAGACTTTCTGTCTGTCTTGTTACGCCTTTCGATTTGAACCGCTTGCGGGACGGTGGCAGTTTAATTATATAACCTACTAAATCGAGGAATTTGCTAGATAATAAACACCGTAAACCGGTAGATTTGATTGCCATTGTTAATATGTTGGATTAAAATGGGCGATTGTGGCTGCAAACGTTGTTAGCTACCGTTAGAAGTTGTACCAGTTCACTTCGGTTTATATTGGCGTAGGTTTCCTGACGACTGTTGGAAATGTAATGACACCTCTTGGAGGAGGATGTTGTGAAAGCCTAGCTCACTTAAAATGATGATTGACTTGAACCAGAGGGAGATAGGTTAAACAAATATTTATAAACTCCAATGTGTAACCTTTATTGCTTGCCAGTGACATAAGTTGTCCAGAATGATATAGTTAACTTAGTTAATTACAAACTGAAAGACAAATTTACAGTCAACTTCCAAGTCATAATTACATTACCTGTACGTTAAACTTCGATTCAGAAACCGAGCTTCAGGAATATTTTTTTTAGTGAGACTGCCTGATGGGTCAATAGGTTCGTATTATCCCAAAAGTTACTTTTAGACTATGAAATAGAAACGTTTGCTTGGGAAAAGAAAATGGCTACTACGTATGAGAAATATGACGTAGTGCCGTGTGCCCTTCAGATTAGTTGATTCATACACCCACTTTAACAGTGTTTGCAATCTTATTGACCGCCTTCAATAGGTTCGCGCTTAGTAGTCGGTAGCCGAACGCTTACTTGTCATTCGTAGACAACTACTGATATTTACCAATCGCAAGTTCTGCTCCCATGCACCCACTGTCATTCAGCTCTATCCCAGGCATATAGAGTAAAAATCAAATGATCCATAGAGAAAGTAGGAAGACACGATTCTGGTAGTAAGATTAACATTAACTTGCACTAGAGTTGACCTATTACAAAAAAATCAGCCCAGCCTCGTACCCGCTTGTCTTTCATACACAGTGGGTTGATAAATACGCACATTGAGACTCCCGGTACATGCGTTTTGAATTGCATATGCGTTCAATGGCGTACATGCGCTTTTTAAAGGAGTTTATTTAGGAAATATGTAAATGCACATTCCTAAACAGGAACAGTATTACTCTATAATATTTTGCTAATGCTTTGCATTAAATAAGGGCAATGGTAAAATCCGCCTATAATAAATGTATAGCAAAAATAAATAAAAATACCAATTTTTCAGTGTAAAACAATTCCTAATTATAATTATTCATTCATTCCACATTTTTTGCTCGGCTTATTACTCACATAGGCAAGAACATTATTCGAATGGAACAATACTCAAACTTTTGACTTATAAAAACCTCAAAATATACCTAACTTGATTCTTCAAATATCTATGGGTCTTTATTATGAAGTACTTTGACTACTCCTTGACACATATATAAAAACTAATACACAGGTTAGGGATATCTGGATAAACTTGAGAAGCGGGTTAAAACCATGAGTCATGCTAATATACTCGTAGATATCTAATAAAATCAAGGATATAGTAAGTTCTTTATTATAAAGCTTTCCAACACTTTTTTTTCTTTACATTACTCTGTATCATTTGTCCTGCATATGCATATGAATGGTGTATATTATTAAACAAGGTATAGAATATTTATTGAAAATGACAAAGTTTTTGAAGGGTTACTTCATTAGTCTCGTCCCGCCACCTCGAAATATTTTCCGCCAATGTATGAGTATTCCTTATCTATGTTTGTCACTAACAGCGTGACAACCTACTTGTACTGTGCGTGCAATTTGAGTTCACTTTTTATTGCTCTTCGTAATATAAAACATAGCAACATCTAAAAATAAAACTAGCGAATAATATCATCAGTTTTTGCTACATTTATTGGACTCCTTTCAGAAAGTGAATAAAAACAATGGTATTTTATTACTTAATTTATTTGTGCAAAAGCAGCTGTGTTAATCAATTCGCGCATGATGCAATATCCCCTACGAGAGTTAAGCTCCGCACATTGGACATTTACGTCCTACTCGTATAGCTCGTATACCTGTGTGTGACCGTGGCCAAGATGCCGTCATGCATATTTTCTTCACCTTGCTATGCTATATAGACGAAATTTACACGGCCGGATCCCAGACACACGTTACCGACAAGTAACCAACCACAGTACGAATAAACCTATAGTCGACCTCTTTACTTATTTCCAATAATATTGATAACAAAACCGCAAAAAACCCCTGATATGGTTGAAAGATTGACATAAAAGTACTATAATTATTATTACTTCAGATTTACAGAACCCCTAATCCCTTGTTCACTCTACGTCTCTGAAATGCACACATCTGTTGCCGATTGTACACGGCCTCATTAGAATATTTCAATATTAATACTGAAAAGAGCGGTAAGACGGCTGGGCGCTCGACGCGTTTCATGCTCGTTGCCATTTATCAAGAAATCTTCACTTCCTATTCAACCGGAGAATTTTATCGGGTACGAAAACCATTAATAAGTCTGCGCGATGCCCACGCGGCGGCGCAGCAGCCGGAATTTAATTGTCACACCTTTGTAAGTGATTCGCGTACAGACGGACAGATCGCGATTGTGCGCGAACTGTTATAATAATGGCAAATAAAGTACGATAGGGTCGAAGGCTTGGTTATGGTCGAAGGCTAGATGGTAGTTGTTTGATGAGAGGAGGTTCAAGAGGCATTTAGTGTGCTAAAAGAGATGTTATGTTGGTCATTCGTCAATCGATTAAACAAAAGCAGTTGGAAGAGGCCAAGGAATTGAAACCTCTTTTTACTCGACGATTTCTAAGTTTCACGTTATGTTAGATCAGTGTTTCTCAAAGTGGGCAATAACGACCCATTCTGGGCGCTGGGGACCTTATTAATGACGGCAAAAAATCTAAAGCAAACTGAGCGAATGATAAATTGATTTGGGGGCAACGCAATGGAAAATCTTTGGCCCCACTATCAATTGTCTCAAGAACACCCCCGGACGGGTACTGTGTATCTTGAAAAGTGACATTTTATAAGTTTTTTTTTGACATTTCGAAGGTTTTTTGTGACATAGCGTAGGTTTTTCTACAAGATGTTAACTTAGCACAACCTGTTGCACATTTGTTGTGAACTCGTTTTGTAGCTGTACGTGTTGCTTAAACGTCAGAGAAACAGCGATCATAGCGAGCAAACGTGGAATGAACTATTTGCACAGTAAAAACTACCTAGTCTGTGAGATTACATTTCTTCGGCTTTTTGATGTTTTTTTTTGGGTTTTTTACATAATACCGTTGCCTCTATTCAGTTGTCATAAAGGGCAATTGTTCTCAGAAGCATTGATGCAGCAGATGGTGATGCCCTCCTCCTCCCCTCCCCGCTCTTCAATTTTGAATCGCAGATATCCCTCAGAGACGGGCAAATTAGGCAGATGACGAAATCAGTTGTAAGGACCTCTGTGTTAGATGATTAATTTTTAAATCCTTTGGATGACTGTTGATTGGCATGTTAAATCCTAATCTAAAAGCTTTAGCAATATTGCTGATTTTATTTCGTAAGGTTTGCGCAGGGTCTTCAGAATTTTAGATAACTTAAAGGTACGAGATTAGTGGTATCATAACGATAACATATAAATAAGCAGTTTTCTTCTCCAGGTATTCCAAATGAGTGATCGATATATCGAAATACGAATAATGTACAAAACAAAACTCTTGTTGTCCTAGAACTCAGGGAATTCTTGAGCACTAAAGGACACATTTTGAAGAATCTTTTTGTAGAAGTCAAAGTGAACCAGATGAATGTTTCTATGTGTCATCATTTTACTTTCTACAATAAATATACTTAACCTTGGCATATGACTATATCGTCGTACAAAATGTGTTGTCCCTTAAATGTAGCCATAACTAGAAATCATTCTAAAGACTGTTACGATCTAAGTGTCAATAGAAAAATATGTTCTAGTCACTAATGTTACGTAAATTTTCAAACTTTATTTTATACGTTATTGGAATAGGTTACTTCCCATTACAGAGCGGCAAAGATCTACTAGTACAGCACCACTCAAAAAACCACACTCTAGTATAAAAATCACTCATTGGTGGCAGTTCATAATTTGCAGATAATATTCACTGCTATTAAATAGGGGTGACACCATAGTCTGTTTATCCAAGAAAGACATTAAACCAAAACATTATCAGCGCGAGTTCAGTGCGTGATCAGCACGTTGATATATTTCAAGAAAGGGAGAGCCTAACTGTTATTGAGCAGAATCGGTCAAGCCTATACACAGGAAGGTGGAGTGGGAAACGACACTGCGGTGCCGCCGGCGTTCTGGAATCTCATCACGCGTCATACGCGTAAATATGTTTGGGTTTAGTTTCATTCTTCGACAAACAACCTATAGATATACATATGTACGTATATAGGTAAATCATCATATGTAGTTGCGTTCGTTTTGCAAGTGAAGTGAGACAGACCGAACAGAGATGAAGCTGTCAAATCAGTAAATGTCTAGCTCACTTCAGAGTTCAAAAAAGACAGCTGAGCTTATTTTGATGAAAAAATTACAAAAAAATAGACCTCCATTCAAGACTAAACAATTTTGCAGTTTGCTGACATGGATCGCCGCAAGAATATAGATGTAAGCAAAGTTAAAAATCTTACAATTTAAATTCGGTGGATCTTGCCTGTAAACAAAATAAACAACATAAAAGCTGCAAGTGCAGACGAATATCACTCAGCTGATGTTTGTTAAATTGAGTGTTTGTAAAAAGATCGTGCAATAAACGTGAGGTGAAGTGCCTATTTGAGATTGTGTTTAAAACGAACGAGACTATGATGATATAGCCTTTTTTTAAGTCACAAAGCTTCAATGTTTAATATGTGTCTAATGTTTACTACGAATATCACCTTACTAAAAAGAAATTATACATCAGTGTAAGGTAGATTTAAAAAAGATTTTCATGAATTTTGTGAATAAGGATGCAGTGAAAGCTTATATTCTTTTTCCACCTCCAATGAGCGTTGATAATCCTATTTTCGTTATGGCACACGTGATTCCCTAACCTGGTGATGCTTCGCCATTTGCGTCTGGGGGCGGGCAATGCAAGTATTTACTTCCGCTGGTAATGGTGACATTACCGGAAAGTCGCTTGCTGGCGTACGGCAACGAATGTTCGCCATCCTCGGGAATGCTCGAGCTGCTGGCGTTGCTGCCTAGTAGACACCACCATGTATACGTTTAATAATAGAGCACAACAAAACTTACTTAATTGAGGAACAAATGTTATAAAGAATCCAATACATGGATGTAACCATTGATTAACCTTTTTTACCTTAAGATAGCCAACCATATAGTGTATTTTGGCGTCCAAAAATTTATCCAAGTTGTAATGATTCTGTCACAACTAAGTTTCTCGTTTTCGCAATATTGGAAATCTTTGAAAAGGTTATTGCCACATAGAGGGCGCGGAGAGTAGAAACATACTAGATATCAAAGCATCTCGGATAGCTTTTTGGACGCCGAAATAAATTACATGGTTGGCCATCTTCAAGTAGAATACGTCAATCAATAATATTAACAACAGTGCCACAGTCTGTTTCACAAAAACAGTTCAAATCTTTTTTTTATATCATATAATCTTTAGCTTGTTTTGAGAGGAATGCGAAATTACGGGTATCTGTGCGACCATCCATTTTTCATGAGCATTTTGGATTAGCAAAAAACATTCAGACACCTGTAATATTCGAGTCATGTTGTCGTTTCGAACGTACACATTATTCACATTCATTTGTAATAAAGAACGATTCCACACGACTGGGCCCGGCCCTGCAACTAATGTAAAAAGGTAGGAAGGTACCACGTACGTGTCAGTGTTCAAATCTTGCGCCGCGCAACTTGTTTGTATACATGTAGATCTGATCAAAAGAAATGTTTTTTCCTTTACCATTTTTCTGGTAAAATTAAAGTAACAAAGTTATAGCCCTTTGGAAGTTTGAGTACCGCCCTGTCTCAATAATAATATCATGTGCTCGTGTTTGGCAACAACGGATATAATACGCCTTATCGGTTCATCGCATCGGAAACAAAAAAGCAAAGAATTTGGAACGATGTTTTTACAATTATTTTATTCAGTTCAGTTATACATACAGTTAGTGTCAGTCGGTAACGCGTGTGAATAGTGGCTCAAACGAAATAAAAAAAATGGCACATGTTTATGCGGATCGGTTTCCCAATCGAGTGCAACCAACCCCTCGTGCCTTTGTTAATGTAGTACAACGGGCTCGTGATTCAGGTGACTTAAGACCTCACAGGGGACCTCACGATCAAATACAGGTCCGCACTGAAATACTTGTCGGGAGGATACTTATAAAACAAGGTAAAAATTCTTTTTTATTTTTTTTTTATTTTTACACACATATTTTGGTTTATCTTCCTTCTACAATCATTATCTGAAAATTAATGACTCAACTTCAAAGTCAGTATAATGTTTATTTACAGAAAATAGTGATAATATAAATATAAATCTGTACAAATAAAGTATGGTAACCAAACAGAAAACCGGCAGAAGCAAGCTTGTTCATTTAAACATCGGTTTTGAAAAATCGAAATTGCCACATCCTTATAGCAATAATGAAGTTATAAATTTGATGATAGTTTGCGGTTACTATCCTTATATTGAATAGATTTATTTAGGATATAATTAATCTTAGATATAATGATATATAGATAAATATCATAGATAATTGAGTCCAGAATTATCTATAGTACTTTCAATCCTTGACAAACTGACGAGTGACATTTGAGTTGATGTGAAGTTGCCCGCCAATTTTCTAAAGTTGGATTAAAGTGCTAATATGGATAAAGACAAATCCACACCTTAAACCAAACCCAATTATTTTGAGGACTGGCTCATCCTGTTAAGGGAATGAGACCCTAAGTGTTTATATCGGGCAATTTCAATCTTAATCCTAAGATTAACCTGTATAAATCCTCGATACAACATTATGCAAAAATCGCAGAAATGGGAAATCTGTTATTTTCTTCCGGTAGCTTATCGCCGCCTTAAAGTAATTTAAACTGACATTACATGAAATAAAAATCAGATAACCAACAAAACACGTAAGCTCTCTCGTGAGTCATCATAAACTTGATGTTCACAACATATTACTAATCATAAGGCAGTAAACGTCCAATCAAACAGAGTGCCATTAACAGTGAATATCCGATGAACATTTTCATTGACAGATTGTTGGCATCGTTGCTGTAACCTTCTACCATGTTACTATCGAGTCAAATATAGCAGTGGTTATGATTTTTAACACTTCTTAACACACACATACGAACGAGTAATCATAAATAGGATATTTGATATACCCTTACCTTGATAGTAAACGTTGACAAGCATTGCAGAACCATTTTATATTAAACAAACAAGATTGCTTCAAAAATATGGGAAATAAAAATAGTTATCTGGAAAGTTATTTTTAAACCGTCTAAAATTCTGGCAACGCCGTGAGATGTAGACTTATTTCTTTAGAGATTATCGATGCAGATTTTCATATAATCTTTAACTTTTAAACTAAGAGAAGGAAATATTTTTTTTTCAAATAAAATGCTCCTAAAAGATGTTAATTAGCATATACTACAAATGATTTACCTCGCGAATTCGAGTGTTTATAAATAAATGAAAAATGATTTTTTTAGGTTAAGAAGTAAACTGCGTGACACAATTTAGAGCACTACAGCAAAATGAGTTTCGGGCGGGATGTTTTTACATCTAATTCTCTTTAAATTGATTACATGGTGACGCAATGACCAGCTCTGCATTTTTTGCATGTTTAGCGTTCTTGAGCTTGAGGGGGAATTTAATTGGACCTAACTTACACCTATAAAGGTGGCTCTACATTCTACAAGATATGCGGTAGGATTTGAGCTGGAAGTTAATTTTATTAGGGGGAGCCTCAGTAGCTCGGTGGGCAGCGCGTCGAGCTACCAACCCGCCTCGTAAATTAATTCCTTGCCAGGTAGACCTAGTATATTATATCAGTTACCAGTAAGTAGATGGCTCGTGCAGTATCACAGTGTTGGTACCACGGGGTCGGCAAAAAGGATCAAAGGTGGATTAGTTGCAAGGCTTCGCCTCCCCATTACTACCAGTTTTAATAGTGACGGTTTGCGAGATGCGCCAATTCTCATCAAGGACCGAATGAATAGTCATTCCTTAAGGCATCCTTTAGTTCTGAGAACATTTTTACTTACTTTGTAACTAAGGCGAGAAACTATCTAATATATATGGATCTGAGGTTTCATTATTACCTATCCGTTCCTTGACTTCAGGTAACAAGGAGGTCTCAATGCGAAAAAAGATTGTTTTCTTCCTTGAGAAAGACATTTGACAGCTTTCATGTCATTCAAACTGTCAAGACTGCCTAGTCAAATGAAGTGTGTGCCACAGTTGAAGAAACGACTATTCAGTCCATATTTATGTTAAACATAAGGACACTGTCTGTAACTCATACTTTCTTGCTAAGAAAAGCAATCACACTGCAGTTTTGACAGATCCGCTTCACCCATCTTAGCACTTCGAGAGAGTTAATTTTATAGAAAGGCACCGTTTTTTTTATTCGATATCTTACGCCCTGCAATTATTGTCCAATTTTTGAAAGTTTGAAAAGCTGCACTTTTGTTTCGGGTCTGTAGACTTGAAATGTTCCAAGTATAATACGAAATACATGTTGCCACATATGAGATATCTCACCTGAACCGTCCAGACTCCTGCTATCCCTGTACACCTGCGGCTGTTTTCTGATCGCCGGTACCGCTGCCCCCGTCTCTCCCTGTTGCTGTGGGGGCGGTGACACGGTGGCCGCTCGCGCGTCGTACTCCATGGCTCTTTCAGTGACGCGAGGCTGCAGTCGTTTGGCCCCTAAGCGAGCCAATTCGCTGCCCGCCGCTGTCAGACGAGCGGCTGCGGTCGGATCATCGTCCGGGGGCGGCGGCCGCCCCGATTCGAAGTCGCGCGCACGCCGGTGGACCACTTGTAGCGAGTGGTACTGCCTGGAAATTGAAGAGATGGTGTTTAAAAATCGTTTGCGTTTAGAGACAATATTAGATTATTACAATAATACTATTTGACAGCATCGTCAGATTATCACAATAATTGCTGACAGCCGCAAAGGGCTATGTTATTTTTTTTTGTGAGTGGGTCAATCACGATCCTCCACAGCCTACTCACAGGTCTATTGTGGCCTACACCTATTTATATTTCTCCCAGCAATTCAGACCTCCTGAGGAAGTCGATCAACTTATTTAGAGAAATACCCTTCAGGTCTTCTTCTTGGAGTACTGCACCCCTAAGCGTGTTGCACCTGACTGGCGCGGGGAGGGAGACGGTATAGCTTTTATTTTCTTGTTGCATTGTAATAAACTACAAAGCTTTTACAAAGCTAAGTCCCAAAAAGTTGAATTTCATTTTATTCACTTGGCACAATTTTACGACTTTGGAAGAAAGTATTTTTTTTAAGTAATGTGTTCGAACATTTATTTGCTTGCATTACATAATCCAACCACGTTTATTTTGTGTGATTATCTCGACAAAAAAGTTATTTATGCACAAATTTAGGGAACTCAGTAAAAAGTATATCTCAGTAATCGAAGTACTCAGAGCATTGCATTAGTTCCAATTACTGAAAACATTTTGCCGGTTCATGCCCGAACATCCTGTATAGAAATAGTAAGTAAACAGAATACAGCTTGTAGGAAGTAAGGCCCTCCCGCACACTGCAGGCTTTCTAACGGTCGATAATTTAGTCGGGTTAGGTTGCTAGTGCGGTCATGCTATTCAACCAACTTTCTTCTCAGAGATAAAAACTACAGAGCCGGATCACTCAGCCTCACAAAACTATGCAACCAATAATGCGTGTTGTTTAGTTGAGTGATTCCTCCATAGATGGACGTTCACAACGATCCCAGTGAGCAAACGTGGAATGACTGTTTGCGCCCTAAAAACTACCTAGTCTGCAAGTTGACATCTGATTTTTTTTGACGTTTTATAGGTTTGTTTACATGATACCCGTGCCGGAAGCCCATCAAACCTTTTTATCGGCCGACACTAAATCGCTGTAATGTGCGAATATGCGTACGGCTCCATACTGATTAAGAAGCCGACCAAAACATCGGCCGATAGAAAGTCAGTCTGCGGGGGCCCCAACACTGTCACAAAAAACTCTGTTATATGCAAAATGTCAATGAAAGCAGTACCTAGGAGGCCATTTACCTTATGAGCTATGAAGTGCATAACCCTATTATGATTCAAAGGTAAAGCAACAACATACAGAAAAGTATTAAGAAAAGTCAAATATTGCGTGAATTCCTGTATGCTGGACAATGTGCAAAAAATTCCTCTGGCATGTTTAGAATAGCTTAGAAAGCTAGAATAATAAATATACATATGCATACTCGAATGAAAGGTTTCTCAACAAGATAATCGCATTACTAAGTTAGTTCAACCCTACAAGAAGTCCATATCATTCAAAAATGGAATTCATCTCAAGAATCAATATTATCTTAGAGCCATCCTTGCTTTGAAAACCAAGCTCAAATAAAAAAGGCATCTTTGGTGTACACGCTTAGCAGACTCTTGCGTCGAGCATTTTACAGGAATATTGGCGCTATTAAAACAGTGCACTTTATGGCGTGACAATGTAAAAATGCGATAATACAATCCACTTTCAAGGTTCAATTTTAATGGTACTACGGAATTTTATTACTCGACATGTCAGACAGCGTGTTTTTATGTGCATTTACAAGATTTTACTGAGCCTATTTTAGAATCTGTAGACAATGAGCACGCGTCCGATAATCACAAAAAGAAAAACGTGTGAGTCACGATTCTTCCAAGAGAGATTGGAATATATCTTTATAGTAAGAATTTATATTACACCATAATTTAATTTTCATTCCAACCTTGATATATCCCAGTATCTTAGCACTGTCTTTTATATGCCTGATACACAACTTTTGTTTTTTTTTTAAATCTAAAATTAATTAGAACCGTGCAAATGCACAGAAAAATAATATCGCTTAATCCAGTTCTAAAAGGTTTTAAAACTAAGGGAAATCGAAATAGATTCCAATAACGATAAATAACAAAGTAATAGGATGAGGCTTGATAATGAATTCTTTATAAGAGTTATTACTCAATTATATTAGCTGCTAAGCAATTGTTTTAATTACAGCTTATGAAGAACATTCAGGATTTTTGAAACGTACGTGAATTTTTTGTTATTATAGAGCTACAAAATGTAGGATTACACCAATGATGTTCAGAAGATCTTAGGCAAGAAAAACGTTAAATACAAAAACGGCCAAAGAGATACAGACGCAAGTTTCTTTGGATTTGATTTGAAAATCTCCATATTGTCATAATTTTTTTGTGACTCTAATGTGGTTTCTGGATAGCGTCATCATGAAAAATTAATTGTACTGTATACCTTTGATCGTCCATGTAGGCTTCCTCGACTGCTGACCCATTCAATGGTTCTAGGCTGTCGTAGCCTCCAGGAGCAGTGGCAGCTTCGTATACCCTGTCTAAATCTGACTTCATCCCCCTTTCTCTAGGAGAAGTCACCCCTTTCTGTTGAGGCATGCTGTAATCTGCACCACCTCCCTGAAATGACGGAAACATTCACTTATCAAGTGTACTTTTGAAAAATACACAAAATGATAGTTTACCAAAAGAATTAGCATCTTTTTATAAAGATGTTTTGCGTGAAAATAAAACAGGTTTTTGGGATCTGTAAGGATTAATTTATAATTTATATATAATATTTATAATATATAATTTTAAGAAATTCTACAGGGTACGGCAGCATAACATCAGTCGCCATCATGCGTTGGAACAGTGAGGAGTATGCCTTTGCCGTTGAGGCCTTCTTTTCGTTCTGTTATCACAACAGACAAACTGTAAGTGCGACAAGACGAAGAACTGGAGAACCTCGGCCCATTAGATCACCCGAAAACATTAAGGCAGTGTGTTTGCGATCACCACGGCGTTCTACGCTCTAACATGCATCTGCCTTGGAATTTCTGATGTTCTGTTAGGAGAATTCTTCATGATGATCTTCATCCCCATTCTCGCAAGATAGCAATTGTACGGGAACTTTCTGAACGTGACTTCAATTCTCGGATGAACGCGTGTGAGCGTCTTCTCGAAGTCGTTCCTGAGGACGCTATGTTACAGGAATGTTTCCCAAGGCTAGATGAGTTGGACTTAGAGGAGATTTGATTCAACGAGACGGTGCAACGACACACACTTCAAGAGTGTCGATGGATGTTTTGAGAGAACACTTCCCAGAGCGCCTCATCTTAATTAGGAATTAGAGGCGATTTGGAGTGGCCCGATTTGGCTCCTTCTGATTTTTTCTATGGGTTTTTTAAATCCCGTGTTTATGTGAACCGTCCAAGGATCCTACAAGATTTGAACACCAACATTATTTATTTCGTTCAAGTGTCATGAGAAACGCCAGAAGTTGGTTACACTCAGCGTATGGAGAATCGATTTTCTTTCGCGCTTGAATTATTTTTTTTGCGAAGAGGTGACAGAGCCAGTCACAAGTAGTTCGTCACCTCGGTACCACCGACCCCAAAATCGGTAGCAGGAAACTACATAACGTTTCCCGACATCTCCTAATAATAGTGTCCGCTTCCATGAAACGAATAGGTGTATCCCACCAAGTGAGGACCCTGTGTGACTCAGGGGACCACAAAGTGCTTACCATGCTACTATTTTTGACGTACTATGCAACAGTTGCATATGCTGAATAGGTTCTGTCTCTGTGATTATGACCAACCATATAGTTCTTCTTCTGTTTATGAATCATCAATCGTCAGTATGGTGCAGGTCCAATCACTGGATACAGACAGAAAACAAGTGAAAACGGGTCTGTTGAAAAACTCACTGCAACTATTCTCGCAAATTTTCCAGTAGACCAGATTTGCTTATAATCCCCGTGTTTGTCTGGTCGAATGAAACCACATTTATGTTCAAAATTTCGACGTCGTACAATAAAGAGGAATTTTAAACATAGATGGGTTTTGATGTGGCCAGACAAGCATCGGGGATTATCAGAATGACAACCAGACGATACGTTTCAGATACTCGTATAGATATTACATCAATATTTGCTTGTTTGCCTTTTGTTGTCTGTCCCCAGTAATTAGATCTATATCGTAATGATGATTGCTAAAAAGCATGAAACAACGATATATACACAGTGTGACAAATAATTTTTAAGACCGGCGTCATATCTCAGCAGCGAGTGGCGCCATCTGTAAAAATTCAGTTGCATTACAAAGGTACAGTGTTCTTTCCTACGCGCGTTAGTTCATGTACATCGGATAACAAATGACCAAGCTGTGACGGTGTTTCCTAACCTAGTTTTGTAATCGATGTTGAAATTTGATCATGGAACAAAGAGCGGTCATTAAATTCAATGCAAAGCTTGGTAAAAGTGCAGCACAAACGTTCCGGCTGATGCAGCAAGTATATGGCGACGCTTGTTCAAGTCGATCAAATGTTTCGTGTGGCATAAACGATTTTTAGATGGTAGAGAATCGCTAGAAGATGGCGAACATACGGGAAGGCCAATTTCAATGCGAAAACCAAAAATGATTGAAATAGTACGCGATTTTGTTGCAAATGACTGCAACGCTTCACTGAACATGATGGAAGGGACGCTGAACATCAACCGAGAGACGACTGGGACCATCCTTCACGAGGATTTGCACAAAACAATTTGTTCGACACACTTTGACGGACGAAAAAAGTCAATGAGAGTTGACCATTCCAGAGAAGTTGTTGCAGCCGCCAGAAATTCTCCAAACTTTCTGAAATCGATTGTTATGGTTGATGAAATGTGGTGCATCCAGTACCATCCTACAGCCACGCGTCAAAGTGCGGAACGGATGTGGAAAATTCACAACAAGTCAGAAAAACGCGAAAAGTGGCTTCAAAAACCAAGACAATGGTAATCACCTTCGATAGCACGGATAGCAAGGGATTATCCATAGAGAACTCGTTCCACCTGGTCAAACGGTTCTGGCAAATATTCTCTCCAAGTTTTAAAGCGTTTGATGGCCAGAATCCGTCCCTAATATCACGATCCAGACAGTTGGTGGCTGTTGCACGATAACGCCCCATCTCACAACTCCCCAACTATTTGTCGATTTTTGGACAGAAATAGAGTTTGTGTGCATAATCATCCGTCATATTTACCTGATTTGGCTCCGTGCGACATTTCTTTATTTCCTAAATTGAAATTAAAGTTGAAAGGATGCTTTTTCGAAGACATTCCGACCATCCAAACAGCTTCAACACGGGCACGAGAGGCAATACCAAAACATGAGCTGGATCAGGCATTTGATTGAAATCTATGTAACAGGTGTATTGAAGCAAGAGGAGATGATATTTAATAAATAAAACAATAAGTACGAAAATATGTTGTTTGTATTTCATTTTATATGCCCATTCTCAAAAATTATTTGTCGCACTGTGTAGGGTTGGTTATGGTCGCAGAGATGTTAATTCAACCAGTGACCAGACGCAATTATATATATGTCAGAGCTCAATGGAAACGCTCTCACGAATGCGAAAGGTCTAGGGTATACCTTCCAACATACTATTTTCTGCGGACGTGTAATTGCCTATTATGCGATATACTACTTTTTTGATACAAAGGTTCGTACCATTCCCACCATGTCCCTTTCGCTTTCGATATCCCCTTTCACACGCAGCACATTCTGATGTGTAGGCTTCGAAGCCTTCGGCGATTCTGTCGGAGGCCACATTTGCTTCTCAAGCTTCTTCGGCCTACCGTAGAATTCTTTGCGTATTAACGCTTGCTCTACAGTATTCACAGCAGGCGTTCTCAGGAATTCTTCTTTTTGTTGGACACTCTTACGGAACCTGTAAACATATTAGGATATGGAAACAAGGTAGAATAGAATAGGCAGCTCAAAATTCATATCCTTCGAAATAGGGATACATTCAAAAACAGGCAGGATAAGCACGGGTATCATGTAAAAAACCTATAAAACGTCAAAAAAAACCTACAAGATGTGAACTTGCAGACTAGGTAGTTTTTAGGGCGCAAACAGTTATTCCACGCTTGCTCACTAGGATCGTTGTGAACGTCCATCTATGGGGGAATCCATCAACTAACCTACACGCATTATTGGTTGCATATGTGTTGTGAGGCCGAGTGGTCCGTGTCTATAGTTTTTATCTCTGAGAAGAAAGTTGGTTGAATAGCAAGACCGCATCTGGATGATTATGTGTATTGGTCTGCATGTGTATAAAATAAAATCAGTGCTGTTTGCTGTGTGAGAAAATCATTACTGAATATGCTGAATATAACGGGTTATTTATATGTTGTGCTTTCTGAAGAGACGTTATGTTCAAAGTCATAAATTACGAAAAACTGAGGAGAATTACGGGAAATCATCACCGCGCCCGCGTTGTGTGTAATTACAATTACTGTTACTTCGACAGTGCACAGTCAATATAAGTATTTCTTATTTCTGTCATTTTTGAAATTGAGTAGATTTGAATGTGTAATTTCCAGAATGGATAAGAAGTGGCTGCGTAACTAATTTCTAGCTTTGAATCTCGATTAAGTGTATTTGAGACAAGAATCCAATGGAATTATCATCAACACATACATCTCACAGCTTAAAGCTCTAGTAATGCCATCTCTGCAGCAGATTTTACATAACATCGGACCCAAACATTGATAACTAAAGCCTCATGACGTTTAGGTAACACGTACAACTAAGTGCTAAGTTAACATCTTGTAGAAAAACCTAGAGAGAAAACAAAAAAGTCGCATAACATCGTTTTTTGACGTTTCAGAGGCTCCCAGAAAAAAATATTGTAGGGGTTGACATTCAGGGGTTGGGGGTTCTAAGGATGAGGGACGTAAAATCTCATTGCTCTGGAGGCAGTATCTTTATACGCTTCCAACCTCAGTAATTTCTCTCACCTATCAGTACGTATTTCACACATCAAAGATTTCCCCGTATATTTGCCCTCAAAACTAATAATAATAACTAGAAATGTTTACAGACTCAACATGAGTTCTGTCGGAACAGCGCGACGTCAGCTGCATCGCCGACAGGGATGATCGCCGGCACAAACATCACAAGGTTGTCGCTTATGACATGGCCGGTGTGGTTCAGTAGCGTCGCCGGATGGTTGATACTTAGGACAGGGAAGAAACTAGCGTTAGCGTTATTGACTGGTTGGAGACTATGGTGTACGGACTCATTGTAAATATGTGCCTGTTTTTCTGACGTGACCCATATAATGTTTTGTTATACATGTTTGTATCTACCTCAAAGGAACTTAATTGGGCCGAACATAATCCATTATGAACTCATGGCAGCGTTGCGTAGGAAGTGTGAGTGAACCTTCGGGATTTTTTAATATTACTTTACTGTAGTAACAAGACAACAAATTTTTTGTCACCAACAATGAGGCAGATCGGATGGTAGACACGTAGCTTTACGTTTCCTCGATGTCTCCGACACACTGATAGATTTCCAGATTTTCTATATTTTAGCGTTCGTAATTGTTTAACGTACCTGTTCCATGCATTCGGAGTTAGAACAAAGTAATCGTTCTGTAACGTCAAAAGTGCGCTTTTCTTCCCGTACTCAAAGTCTTGGGAATGAGAGTGTTGTCACTTGTCATTTTCATGGTTCATGGTTTGTTTAGTTTATTTCGTTATGAAAAAGTACTCAACGTTGGCAGAATATATATTTTTCTAAAAATAATTTTCACAGTATTTCAGAGTAAAATTTAATTTGTCAATCTACATTCCCTTACCGAGCGCAGTATTACATTATCAAGTGATTTACAAACGCACCCCTGCTGTATTGCGACAATTCATATCCTTGGTGCTTTATGATGGGCGACGTCAAGGCAACTTAACAAAGTTTGTTGTTTTGCTTAGCAGCTTAGTAAGAGTCAGTATGATACAGGTATCGGACAAAAGACGGAAAGCTGAAGGTATGAATGTTATTTTGCCTGACCTATAGCCTATAGCTATCTCTCACTAGAGCTGGTGCACCTCTTTCGTGTGAGGTGCCATTTAGCAAACTCGGTGGTGGTATACATACCTCGTCATGATGGCGGAATCGTCCGTTTCGTGTCCGGTAAGCGTAGCCGCTGAATCGTAGCTAGCTAAACTATCTTTGCTACCATCTGCAATCGAGGACGACAGCGAAGAGGTGCTCTCTCGACGTCCCACGTCCAGGCTCAACCGACAACCTGCCGTATTCGGGTAGCCTGAAGGCACGTCCGCGCTCTGCATACCCTGGAATGTCAAATCATTACCTCCACTTCGAAAAATCTTTTTACTAACTCGTTACACTATATGGTATCGAAAGATACAAAAAAAATGTAGAAGTGAAATAACGAGAATAGAAAGTATGAGTTGAATGTTCAACTTAATCAATTAAATAATAAAAATTGAATATATAAGTGATGTCATTTCATTCTTGCTGTTTTTTTAAAATATAAGATTTAATTTTAATTGTCTTCTTAAATGGCAGTTCTCTCAGCCGCAAAAACTCCCGAGGGATGTTGTTATCTTCTTTAGCTATTTGGTAGCTGAAACTCATTTCATATCTAGCAGTTGGATCTAATATTAATATTGTGAACTTCTGTTCGAAATTTATTTTTTTTATAAAGGTGGGTATAATAATTTCATGATACTCATATAAGGTAATTGCATAAATTTTGAATCTGTTTCTCATATTGATCGATTTCTGAAATGTTTCGTATGCCCTGAACAAACCTAACACAAGTATTTTGAACAATTTGAATTGTCTGCGACCTTCTAAATCCAAACTGCTGGAATATAGGTAAAAAGTACGAAAACTAAGACAGCACAAGACTTTCACACTTTTTAGTATCACAATTTAAATAGTTGCGATGGGGATATAGGATCCTGAGTGAAGGCTTGGCTTCTTTTATATTCATTAGCACCTGTTTTCGGAAACGCAATTTTGAATCGAGTATTAACCCAAGGTTATTTCTTTCTTCTAATGGTTTAATTGGAATGTTGTCAATTGTGACACTGAAGAAAACTTGTCCAGAGCAGGTAAGACAAGAGGTACAACGCGATTGGCGCAACACCTGACACTATTGACTCTATATCACCAATACAAATAAATCAACGAGGCAAGTTGCATAGTCATGCCAGACCATCCCCACACAACTTTTAATACTGCTTGCGATCGAATTTTATGAGAGTCAATAAGCTTCTTAAACTGACAAATAGTTATACATTTCCGAGAAAAAAAGCATATGAAGGCAACTGCTGGACATATCTTGATCTGATGAACACATGTGGATTTTCCAAGGCAGAGTTGTCCAAAGTTTTTGGGACACTCTATGAACCAAGAAAGTCGCACGTGCCATATTTCTACCAGAAAGGGTAGTAATATGCATTTGACTTATTACAGACTATGACAAAGGCAATAAATGCCACAGTTGAGGGTTTGTGGTGCCAGCTTGTGGCATATGTGCCGCGGGTATTTTCACAGCTAATGCAGGTAAAATCAGTGTGTTAATATTCTTGTTGGTCACACATGTGGCTATGCTTCTTTACATTTTAACATGCAACTAGTGATATAGCACCTACCTTATAAACCGTCTTCATAGCGTAATCCTCCTCGGTGCTCAGACTAGAAGCGTCGGGTGGATCATAGTGCGCACTGCCTTCGCTGGCCCTGCGGCCCATCTTCCTGTAAAGAGGCACCTGGGGGGCGGCCCGGCACTTCTGCCTGCCCACAAACTCATGGGGGTGGATCTCCGCGTAGATCTCGTGCTGACTGTAACATTCATTAATAAAACATTAAGATTCATATCCTGGAGTCCAAGATACGCGAAATTATAGATGTAAATAAATGTTCAAGGAGGAAAATCTTTATTGTCCTCGAGCTCGCCAAGATTCAAACGTTAGTAGCAATAGGGAATAATGTGTGCAACAAGATTATATCGAAATACGACATATCAAAAAGACCGTAACTGACGTACTCTTGACCAGTAAGGCTCATTAGGATGACACATCAATAGAGCAGGCTTCCTAGGTATTCTCAACAAAGGAGGGTTGGGTGAGAAAGATAAAATCCAGGAATATACTGGTACCAATGATCTTCGGATTTTTCCTTGTTTCAAGGAAGTAACCCTCTTTAGGGCTTTCAGACATAGTAGCCAGTAACCTCAACTAGGACTCAACAGATCCTAGATCAATATTGTCTTGGAGCAATCGACCTGTAGGAGACTGTAAAGCGAATGGAGAGATGTAGCTACAGACAAGGCGGTAGGTTCATATGAAAATAGTAGGCAAACGTCACTCGGGTATTGAATAAGAATGTTGACTATTTCTAGTACCATTTGCGTTCATTGGAAGATAGAATTCGGCCCGTACGAGGAAGATACTCACTTTTCCCTTCTGGTATGCCGTTTGGGCTCGCTGTAAATGAGACTATCAGCACTGCGCTGACCCCTGTCGTAGGCGACCCTTTGCAAAGGCGGAAATTCCTGCGGATATCCGTGATATGGTTGTTGCAACGATCGCCACGAGATGGCGTCCACCTGGAACCCTGGTGCACCGCCTCCTCTGCCAAGATGGTGAGTTAGGAACTGCTGGGCGGATTGTCGGTCGTACGGGACATCCGGCTGTTGGTTCGATACTGGGTTGTAGGCGGTCTCGGCAAAAAACTGCAAAGGATAAGATATAGATAAGATACAGGATAATTAAGATTCGCAATCAAAGGTACTCGAATAATGGGTGTTTGGACACACAGTATAATAATTGAAAAAATCTGGAGCCGCCAAAAAGATGAGAAATTCTATGAGGGGCACATGAAAGAAATCTACCTAGCCATGAAAAAACAATTGAAGCGCATAAGCACAATATCTCAAATAGTGGCATGTGTTCTAACCTTACTTGCAAAATTTGAGCCCGTTTTTCAATTTATGAAGTGAATTGTGAGGAGAAAATAAATAACCCAAGAGAGTCAAGTGGAAACATTTTTTTACAAGGTACAAGTTTACTGGATTAGAAATGGCGCAAGTGAATTGATGTGGGGGGGGTATTATGTTGAAAAATAAAATTATCAGAAAAATCGTAAGTCTTTTGTTGCATGGCTAGGTAGATTTCTTTTCTAGTACCCCTTGTATATTGATCAAAGGTACAGAAGCAGCGTGAATCTTACAGTAGTGAGCTATAGAAATAATGTTACTTTATTATTAATTATATTGTTTAACATGATGTCTACAGTTACCTTCGCGATACGAGACTTCCACTTTTCAATGGGTTTTACGATCTGCTATACCACTTCTGCACATAAGTTTCTACACAATTCAAATTTCAAAATTGTCGTAATTTTGTGCGACACTTCAAATTTTAGATAAAAGAAAAAACATTTTCAGAATCGACCACTGCGAGAGTAAACACCAGCTATCTATTGGAAATGAATGGTATCTCAGTGCGCGTCGACAGACGAGTCACCACCACTTGATGCTGTCGATTCTGGCGTTATAGTACATGATAGTATACTCTCCATTGAAAAACTAATAATACTGCTTTCGACCATCTGTCCAACAGAGGGCCGTGTACAGGTGTTTCATGAATATTGACAATCATCAGCACTTGGCTTCTAGGTAAAACAAAGTTCTTTGTTCCGCACACTCACCCGCTGAAGTACGTCCTCCTCCTTCGGCACCACCAACAGATGTAGATACTCTGGACTGTTCTGGATTAGCTGTACTACTTGGGAATACTCTTTGTCTTTGACAGGCACCCCGTTGACGGCGACCAGCCGATCGCCCTGTTGGAGTCCAGCCCTCTTCGCGGCGCTGCGTTCGCGCACCTGCTTCACGAAGATGGTGTCCATGGGCGCGAGCAACGCGCCCACGGCTGCGTGACGGCCATCGTAATGTTCCTGGAATTCAAGAAAACGGCGTGAAGCATTCATTCTCCTCCACCACGTGAAAAGTATACGGTGAAAAAATAAATTTCTTTTCCCAAAATGTAGTTTTTAATAATTTGATTACCTTTCCCCTATTTTAATCCGTTAGGGTTTATCAACAAATTTAATGTTTGTAACGCATAGCTATGAGTTCCGTCGTTAACAACAAACGCAATGTGTCCGGTCTTTTGTTTTATTAATCCTAAGTGGTCTCATCCACGTATTCTGAAGATGACAGCATAGTCTATCGAAAGCTTGAGACTTACGTCAAAAGAGTTCACGACGCTACAGGTTTTGCCGATTCTCATTAAACAATTTAGTTTGTATTTCTTATCCAACTGGTTGTTGGCAATGACTACTGCTCGTATAGGAATTTCCTTCTTTTTGCGGAATTTGCCCATCATTTTCCTATTTTTTTTATATACCTTTCTCCGCATGATCATTTTCTCTTTGTAGATCGTTTGGGCTTGAAGTACCGCAGCAAGTGGCTATAACCGGCCGCGTGGTTGTGGTTACATGTCGCCTTGACAATTCCACGTCTTCTAGCCATTTTATACTACAATGTGTAGGTTGGCTCTTGTAGACTTCGTGTGTGATTTTTTCCCTCTCCATTTTCGTTTCCTCAGGTTACACCCGTATCCGGATGTGTGGGCATGTGTATCTACTTTTGTTGTTGCATATGTGCATTCATTTCGGGCCTGATGAAGCCAACGAGCAGAAATACGTATCCTATTTTCTGCTCGAATCCACTTTCCTTCTTTTTGCGGAATTTGCCCATTATTCTCCTATTTTTGTTACATACATATATATAATTTTATTTGCGAATGTGAAACCAAGATATATGGGTCCCCAGAGGAGTGATTCTCAGGAAAGTCTGAACATCGGCAAGAAAGAACTTTTCGTGAAAGTGAACCTGCTCTTCTAACTGTTTGGAGAGCGGGGGTAGCAATTTTTATCAGGGGGGAGGGGGAAATCCTAAAAATCTTCAAAATCTTGCTAAATATGCAAATTTTGAGATCCAACCGGAGTCTCGGCATAAGGAAACATCCAATTTTTTGCCGAGGAAAGTTTTTTGATACGCCTAGTGAACCTAGAATCGAATAGGTCTCCAGGAGACCCTAGAATACAATTGAATTGGAATGAGGTCCAGGAGCCTGGTACATCTACGTCAAAAATGTTTGTTGATATGACATGGTGATGGCATATTGAGGAAGTGTTATTGATTAGTCGGATTAGTCCTTTCTGCATAGAACTAACAGACAAGAGAGTAGGGAATTTTAATACATAGTCACCCAACAGTCTCATTCAACCAAATGACTAAATCAGATACTGTTCTATGCTTAGATACTACGTATGATATTAAGCTCTTTCGCAATTTCAATCGCTCGATACCGAGACTAGTCTAGCTTAGTATAGTCTGCTACTTCTGATTATAGAATGACCTATGTGATAATTTTCCATCATTTGTTATGTTTGTCTGATTACGTCAAGAGCCCTATAAGCTCCACATTGAATCCACGAACTTCAAAAAAGTCGCTAGAGGTATCAAAAGATCAAAACCTGAACAAATATCAAAATCGTTTGTATGAATTTCCTTGAAGTTACCGTTATCAGTTTCTAGCAATTCTCCTTTCTTTCAACCACAGAACCCATCTTATAATTTGGTATTCTGGTGAGAAAACTTTGCAAAAAAGCTAAAACAGTACTTACAGCGATTAAGTCTGGTGGGTATACAATAAAATGCCTGAGTGTGAACCCGAAGCTGTCTCCATTTCGTTTCAAGTACAGGCTTCTGGGACCCCTACTGCCTCGTGGTAATGGAACTACCCCGGGTGGATTGGGCTGTAACAAAAAAAAAAAATATAAGCCCATCTTTTTATAGAAGGTGCTTGAGATCCCATACTTATATCGGTAGTTTGTAATTTTAAAATCATATTTAACAAATATATAAATAAAATCTTAACGTTGTATGTATATATATAATCAATTCTTATCGTAATAACCTGGGGATACCGCACGAAATGCCGAAATACCTCAATATTACATATTTGTTAAACATTATTATATCAAACCACAAGATGAAGGCATCTCCCTTAATTCGTCAATTGTAGATATTCACAATTTGTATTGTCATCTTTGTAAAACTATTTTAGATTTACCCAAGTTCCAAATTTTAGCACAGTACAACAAAAAAAAAACGAATATCGTATAAACGACTCCTAGAGTCCTACGAAACTATTAGCGAACAACAACTTTCCCAGAAATGTATAAAACCGTAGAATATTAGAAAAAGATAACGATGTAGGTAATGATGTAAACGATACAATTACCATTTACAGATAATGGCAATTTGCAACAAACGGCTGGCCACACAATGCTCGCATACTCTCATTGATAAATGTCGTTGATTCAAGATAAACCTGCAGATAAGTCTAATCGAATAGAACAATAAATATTCAATTTAAGGCCGTGGCGAGTTTTGTCAGTGGCGGAGTAGCACGAAAGGGGTAACGAGTACGAAACATTTATTCGAGTTACTTGCATTTTTCGACGTGCATGGAAGAAGATCGTAGGTCGACATTTGTCAAAAATGAGTTACCATCTGAAAAAATACTAGCTCTCTGTTGGTGTCAGGAATTGTGAATATCTGACGTTTCAAACAAATTTTAAAAAAATATCGTATGTTCATCAAATTTATATTCAGATAAGATCGCCCATATAGGAGGTGAGTATTTATATCTTATGTAACAGTATCGTCGTAGTATTTTTTCGACCTTATTGCTCCTGTATTATCTAATTTTTATTAATGTTAGTGTGCCTTGATTTTTGACATACTTTGTGTGTGATATCTAGAGCTATGATCATGTTGTATTCAAAATTAATGGATACTGATACATTTTCGCTTATATTCAGCGTTCACAAAGTGTGTAACACTTTTCTGTTTTGTTTTTTCTCTCCTGTAAAATTGACATTTTAGAGGGACGATATTCTTAGATAGGTACGTCGATTTACATCGTTTGACGAAAGCGGTAAAGTTATTATTTTTGCACGAAAACAAAAAATGAGCACTGATGTATATTTACACACATTTTCTTTTTGTTCTGTTGAGAACTAGTATTTACTAATAAGTCAATTTAACTGGCTCATCTTTCATTTGAACATTACAGAAACTCCCAATAAGATTATTTTGTATATAGGGTGTTCCCTAATATAATGTCAATATTTAAGGGGGCGACTTTAGGGCTCATTTTATTTTTTCTTATGAACGCCTGAACTTTTGAGTCAGGGTGATAGAGTAAAAATAAGAGGCAGTTTTCAATGCACTACACTTCTAGTTTCCACCAGTGGCGTTCGCACGGAATTTCACCTACCTTTTGGCAGACATTGATGGAACGCCACTGATTTCAACTGATATTGAAAACTTTTCCACCCTTTATCTCGAAAGTTAAGACGATTAGGACATACGCTCATATGAATTTTTCTTCTTAAAATGGACTCTAAAATCGTCCTCTTAAATACTGATATTCAATTAGGAAACTCACTGTATATTATTACCGAAATTGTTTCAAAAGAACCATTTCGTAGTAGTATGTAAAAATATTGTAGACCAACTACTAGCACTACGACAATACGACAAACAATAACCATGCTTAGCTCTAATTTGTCAAAAGACAAATATGCTTTAAATATCTGATCCATTTTTTCGTAGCAAATCCAGTCTGAAATGTAGTAATGAAAAGGATCTCCACCACTGTGTGACATCACCTTATCTACTGTTTATACGATTCTCGATAATATACAAGGGATCGGTCTAGACTAGAGCAAAAAACTACGTTTCCGTTTGCTTTCATGAAAACACTCACTCGACAAATGAAGCGAGCAACTGCAATTAGCTGCACATACCACAAATTATGGCGAGTAAGCCGTATGTATGTATGAGAAGTTTCACCAAGCACCTACATTTTCAGGTTCTACACCAAGCACTCTATCCGCACTTTGGTGGTATTATGTACTTAATGACTTGAATTGTACGGATCTGCGAACTGAAGACTTTATTCTGTCCTCCTCAATTTTTTACTGAAACAATGAACTGTTGCGACCGACTACTACTGACTTTACGTTGACTAACCTGAATGTACAATTTTCGTTTACTACTTTAATCATGCAGTAAGATAAAACATCAGTTCAGCCTAACTATATCAGAATATACTTATGTGTGAGTTTTAATTTTATGTTAATTGCCTATGTGACAATGCTGATGACGCTTTTAGCTTTCAAAAATCATAAGCGATTTCTCTGATCTGAATATTTTCTGTTCTACTGTATTCTGATTTTCAGTGGTTTATCTATAAATCTTTTTTCCGCCTTAAATTTCTCAGTCGTAAGCTGGTGCGTGTTTTTGTGGATCCTACTAAATCGTTTGAGAAACTTGTCGCGACAATACCATATTAATCAATAACCCTGGTAATTATTGTATTTCTTGCGGCTTGAATACCTACAAGGTAATGTGACATTTTCGTAAAGACGTCTATCTCCGTCCCATAGACGTGAATATTATCTAGATTTGTTTAGTCTTATTAACATGCATGTAAATTACAGGTGTCTCACAGAGAGTATAATTGATACAATGCTTCGAATTTTTGTGTGCAATTTTTAAAAAATTAAATTAAATGATTCACTATTTGTAATGCAGAAGCAAAAACTGTGACTTATTTTTTAAGCAAATTGAATTTTACGATTTTACCTATGCAGCTGACACAATTTCCATATCTAAGCAGCGATTAACTCGTTACTCACATATTTCAATGTAAATAATTCCGTAGTTCCCTTATAAGTAATTTATTTTCCTAAACACAAAAATGTAGTTTGGGAATATGAAAAGCAAGTGCTTAATGGAGAGAGGAAGGAACGATTTTTGTAAAAAATGTACTTCGTTTTGGGTGGAAAAAACTTGCACTTCTCTTACAATCTATTTGTTTTTTAGGAATTTTACGGATTTGAAAATAACTTGCTGAAATACGAGTAGTTGGGTGTTTTGCAAAAAATTGTATTATCAAATTCAATTGAAGGAAGTTCGTTTTATTAAGCCCTTTTATTTCGTATTTCCAAAGCCCTTTTTCAAAAGCAAACTAGTTATGATAGAACTACGGTTGAATGTTTTACATAAAAATACATGCCTAAATAAAAATAAAGCTCAAAGGGACAACGAGAGTTTGTTAGTATGTTTTGAAACTGACTGCGCAGTGAAAGTGGATAACGTTTTTCCTGGTTTTGGACAATTTCGATACATCTGGAGTAAAAAAATAACGGGCAATATTCTATGCTTTTTTTTGTGAAACTATGATTTCAGCTGCTTACATCTTCATTTGTTTGTAAAACTAAAAATATCTCGACATATTTGGATGGTTTGTACTGTGCATATATGTCATAATACATTGAGAATAAAGACAGGAAAGATAGTACTAATATTCATTCCATATGCTTGTAAAAGTTCTTTGGCAGAGTTGTAATCGTTAAAGTACTACCCACGCACCGCCCAATTGTGCCAATTAAAGACAACCTTCAAAAAACCGCAAAGAGGAGAAAAAACTCGTTGCTTCTTGCGGAGTGTGTGTGGCGTGATATGGTTGCGTGATGCTCGATAAACTTTGCCATACTTGCAATGATATAGAGGGTGACACGATCTTTTGAGGCGAACACTGGAACCGTTTATAATAATTTACCTTATAATGAGTACAGCAAACTCATACATTTAATTTTATTATGCTTTTTTTCACTGCTATTCTGAGAAATCGCCATTAGTTACGTGGCGTTTTCATCTGCATATTATTTTGGCAGACCTTCATGCACATGAATAGCATCTTCCTAAGCAAGTCTAATAGCTTAATTTTTTCCATCCATTGCACCGTTTTTCTAGTACTAGTTTAAAAAAAAATGTTTCTCTACATGATCATAACAATATACAAGATGACATCACCACCAGAGAAATAGATTTTATTTTTTCTAGGTGAAAAACAAAAGGTAAAATCTGCTCATAAATGAATATAGATTTGATTTTTTTTTTCATTTTAACAAAAGTCATTTTATTTTTGAAAACTTTACCACCCTGTGTCCCAAGGTACCTGGGACATACGTTCTAGTTTAAATGGACCCATAATCGCCCCTTTAAATATTGACATTCAATTAGGAAACACCTTCTATATACCTTCTATATAGGAACGTACAGGGTATGAGTAATTGTTCTCGTAAGTTTTCTGTATCTAACGGTGGGGGGTTCAAATCTCAAAAACTCTCGAGAAAATCCTTCAGAAATTATCATTGAAGATTTCTTCCATGTGTACTCAGGTCTTTAGGAATTCTACCTTGCAAACGTATGTCAACCGCACGCAGCATTACGCGGCCAGATGCTCTTTACGATAGCGAAAAATAAAAACAAAAACGCAGCCACGCGGCTCGAGAGAACCAGAAGAAAAAGTGTAATGCGTCTTCTAGACAATAAGATCTCTTAAGAACAAATTCGCTGATGATGCACAAAAAAGACAATTCCCTTCGGTGGTAGCCATTCATAGGCGTAGGTAGGATCGAAGCAGTTTTCGAAATTATTCTGCTAACACGGTTAATTTGAAACTATGAGTGTTAGTCCTGATGTTTTAGTGGCAGTGAGTTTTGTTACTTATACTGTCAATTCGAAAGATATTTTGGACTTCTCCGAAGTAAAACTTTTTTAGGTCATATCATCTGATCTAACATCTTATTCCAATTTTCAGTCATCATCGCCGAATTTGAACTATATTATTTATTTGTTATTTTGGACTCTTCTAGGTCATACAATTCTACGAAACACTACACTAATACTTTGAAACCTAATCGTTTCTATTCCTTTTCTTCACGTTTAGTTAAAAACACCGGGTACATAAGATGCCGGACTTACATATTTATGAATACCATGATGCAATAGTTAAAATATTAAAGACCGCTCTAATAACACAGCCCCTCAAAAAAAGAAAAAAAAACTACCCCTAGAGGTGGTTAAAATTGAGTTTTCTTGTGCCAGATGCTGAAGGATGGTATTCCCATGTATTTTTCGATACTGAACCCGAATTCGTGATCTAAAAGATCCCTACACCCTAGAGGTTACCCCTGGGCCCTTTGGGATCAAAGAAATCATTGCACCCCTGGAACTCACTGCCTGAACCAAAAAGCACCTCTAAAAAGGGGCGGAAAATTGTTTTTTGGATTCCAGTTGGTTGCTGAACTCACCCCCAGCGTCAAGGCTATCCATAATGGCGGGTGGAAATTGAGTTTCGAGTGATGCTGAATCGTTGTATTGTTGGACACGTATTTTGATAGTCTGATCCATT